CAATGTGAACAGATGGCTTTGATTAATGCGGAGGCTCCAGACAGGATCTCCCTAGATGCCTCCTATTTCCTAAATGAGACATTTGTGTGCAAATGTATTGTTTGTCAAGTTGTCACCAGTAACTCCGGTAATTAAAGTGAAAGTTCTGTACATTCACAAAGAAATGGCACAGGTTTACTCTCCCTCGGCATTTCTCTGACTCAGGTTGAAAATGTCTCAGTCCTAACTGAGACTAATTTCTTCAGCTTCCTCTACAATGTTGTACTTCTCAAAATAGTCCTCCTCTTCTCTTCTCTTTGGTGGAAAGTAACTACTTACATTTACAGAAGTACTATACTTAAATACAATTTGGAGGTACTCATACATTACCTGGGTATTTCCATTTTCTGCTGCATTATAATACCACTGCACTATAATTCAGAGCCAAAATGTTGGCATTGTATTCCTCTGCAAACCACAAATGTGTTATATTTGCAAGTTTCAAACATATCATATCAACATTTCTTAAATTCTTGGTATATGAGCTGATGAGGCATCCCTGCGTTTCCAGCCAGAATAGTGCCACGAAATGCGTTTGTTTTTTACCAAGACATTGCTGCATCCTCCAGTGATTTTTTAGGACCTACTGTAAATGAGGGTTTTTTACTAAGTCGTTGCTGTTTTTCCACTGGAGATAGTGCCACAAAAAGCATTTGTTTTTTACAGAGTCATAGCTGCATTTTCCAGCAGCTTTTAAGCTCCCAGTTGACCTATGGATAAGCCACGCCCCCCTCCACTCACTCAGACAAACTATCAACATTCTGTGACCGGCGCTTTGGCAGGTGTCACAGTACACTCCATTTCCCAGGAGGCAATTGATGATTTTTGGGGACATAACGATCAGATGTCATTGAGAAGTAACCAAAAGGGCATAAACTACACATTGGAGGGATATATTTATCATTTTATTGTTGAGAAGGTCGATGAAAAGCTTAAATTACAAGCCAAAATTTACAGGTCACAGTGTACTCTTGTGAACCGCATCTCATTGCTGTCACCATCAAAGACAACAAGTTAAAGTGCCACTGAAGTTAAAGTTTTTGGCTCAGAATATGAGAAAAGGATAACGGCCTTTTTACCATCTTTACCAAGAGTGTCTCTCCGTTAGTTTGGTGCTACATTGAATCATTTATTAGAAGATCTGTTGGTTTTTACCGAGACATTTCTGCATTTCCAGCCGGCGTAAAACCATAAAAGTGGTTGTTTTTTTACCGAGACATTGCTGCATCTTCCAACAGCTTTTTAAAACCCCAAACGTAGGTGTATTAAGCAAGTTATCACTATTTTTCCACTGGGGATAGTCTCTTGAAAATTGGGTGTTTTTTTACAGAGACATTGCTGCATTTCCAGCAGGGACTGTGCCCCCACACCTGGGTAATTTAACCCAAAACATCATCTTTTTCTAATCATAACCGAATAATTTTTGTGCCTTAACTTAACCACATTATCCACAGCATTGCTGAAACGTGAAGTATCTACCACATAAAACCATACAAATGTAACATATCTGTGGTTTGGAGAAATGTACAATGCAAACATTTATTCTGCCAATTGGGTTGACACTACTTGTATAAATGTGTAAATTCAGACTGATAGTACAGAATATAATAAATAAATATGAGGATGAATTATTAAAGTCACCTTTAAGTGATGTACACATTGATGCATCAATAATTATAATCCAATAATTACTCTGACATGGGACATTCTTTGTAATGAGTACTTTACTTTTTGCACTGTAAGTAAATTTTGTAATTCATCTCTGCATGGTGATATTGCTACTTCTACTTAAGTGAAAGATCTGAGCACTTCTTTCACAACTGCTTCTCCTGTTGTCACTCACCTGCTCTGTGATTTAGTGCTGCCCTGTCACTCCATGATATACGGTGTGACACTCACTTGACTGAACCTGAGTGATATTGAATATGTATTCATGTTTGACAAAGACTGAGGGAAAAAGCGAGAGACAAAGAGCATAACCACGACAATAAAACACCCCCAAGGCAAGATTCAGTTCACTGGTTTGAAAATAGATGCAAAAATATGCGTAAAAAAAAAAAAAATCTTGCATCTATCCTTAAAAAATGTAACTGCAGGCACAGACGTCCTCGTTTAACAGTTCAAGAATCTCAGATTTTCTCAGATACTTCTTTCTGGTTTGCATCTGTGGGATTTGAAAGTCAAACAATGTGATATCCACTAGCTTATCCTACTCAGTATTATTCCGGAGGGACATCACAAAGCATCAAGAAAGATTTCTGTGTTGTTGTCATTCCTGATTAAAATATGACCATGGTCAGGTGACTTTCACTGCAACATGACACACAGAAGTGCACCAGGCAGTTAAGTAAGCAGAGCAACAGACGTCCTGAACTATAAAAAAGTTTCAAATACAAGACTCTAGCAAATGAACATTTAATAAGATCACTTACAGTACATTCAGTAATACAATATTACACAATCTCAAACACACGTGTGTTGTGGCTCTGACGACTACCGACATAAATGAAATCAAATAAATGACTGCGAGGAAAACAAATATCATAGTATAAATTAATTCATATAAAACATACAGTTTCTAAATAAAGATTGCACATTTAACAATACTTCCTAAAAGAAAACTGATCAAGTTATAGATATGAAAACAGTAATAAATAATAAATAAATCGCACATACTTGCTGATATTTAAAATGTTAAAGACATGTAAGGTACTTTGATTATTTAAGCAATCATGACACACTTGAAATGATTACAATATGAGAGTGAAGAATACAAGAAAAATTGTCCTAAAACCTTATTGCCATAAAAAAGATTGGCAGAAGCACTTGGCATGTTTTGGGTCTTAGGAGCTGATCACAGTAGTTAACTCTGAATGAACAGAAGTCAATAGACAGTAGGTAATACACGTGACATTGTGTCTTGAGAGATGCCTCTATTGCATTCGGTCGGCAGATTCAGAGGTTTGGGAATGGTAATTTATTCATGAATGTGTTTACATGAGCAATGATGCGTATCGCTGCATGACTATATTATAAGTACCTTGAATGGAATAACTAAGACACAATATATCATCAGTCAGGACACTGCTGTATTGGCTTATTTAAAGGGGAACTATTATGCATTTCTGTCATGAATATAACGTTACAATACCTGATGTTCATTTTAAACATGGGCAAAGTTTCAGGATTCTGACGGTTATTAATATTCTGTTTACAACATTTTTTTTTCTACTTCTGAGACAAGCTGATGTCAACCCATGATGGACATCTTTACATAGTCATGTGCTTCAGGCACACTACTGCAAGTGTTAACATACACTGCTACATGTACAGTACAGGCCAAAAGTTTGGACACACCTTCTCATTCAATGCGTTTTCTTTATTTTCATGACTATTTACATTGTAGATTCTCACTGAAGGCATCAAAACTATGAATGAACACATGTGGAGTTATGTACTTAACAAAAAAAGGTGAAATAACTGAAAACATGTTTTATATTCTAGTTTCTTCAAAATAGCCACCCTTTGCTCTGATTACTGCTTTGCACACTCTTGGCATTCTCTCCATGAGCTTCAAGAGGTAGTCACCTGAAATGGTTTCCACTTCACAGGTGTGCCTTATCAGGGTTAATTAGTGGAATTTCTTGCTTTATCAATGGGGTTGGGACCATCAGTTGTGTTGTGCAGAAGTCAGTTTAATACACAGCCGACAGCCCTATTGGACAACTGTTAAAATTCATATTATGGCAAGAACCAATCAGCTAACTAAAGAAAAACGAGTGGCCATCATTACTTTAAGAAATGAAGGTCAGTCAGTCCGGAAAATTGTAAAAACTTTAAATGTGTCCCCAAGTGGAGTCGCAAAAACCATCAAGCGCTACAACGAAACTGGCACACATGAGGACCGACCCAGGAAAGGAAGACCAAGAGTCACCTCTGCTTCTGAGGATAAGTTCATCCGAGTCACCAGCCTCAGAAATCGCAAGTTAACAGCAGCTCAGATCAGAGACCAGATGAATGCCACACAGAGTTCTAGCAGCAGACCCATCTCTAGAACAACTGTTAAGAGGAGACTGCGCCAATCAGGCCTTCATGGTCAAATAGCTGCTAGGAAACCACTGCTAAGGAGAGGCAACAAGCAGAAGAGATTTGTTTGGGCCAAGAAACACAAGGAATGGACATTAGACCAGTGGAAATCTGTGCTTTGGTCTGATGAGTCCAAATTTGAGATCTTTGGTTCCAACCGCCGTGTCTTTGTGAGACGCAGAAAAGGTGAACGGATGGATTCCACATGCCTGGTTCCCACTGTGAAGCATGGAGGAGGAGGTGTGATGGTGTGGGGGTGTTTTGCTGGTGACACTGTTGGGGATTTATTCAAAATTGAAGGCACACTGAACCAGCATGGCTACCACAGCATCCTGCAGCGACATGCCATCCCATCCGGTTTGCTTTTAGTTGGACGATCATTTATTTTTCAACAGGACAATGACCCCAAACACACCTCCAGGCTGTGTAAGGGCTATTTGACCAAGAAGGAGAGTGATGGAGTGCTGCGGCAGATGACCTGGCCTCCACAGTCACCGGACCTGAACCCAATCGAGATGGTTTGGGGTGAGCTGGACCGCAGAGTGAAGGCAAAGGGGCCAACAAGTGCTAAACACCTCTGGGAACTCCTTCAAGACTGTTGGAAAACCATTTCAGGTGACTACCTCTTGAAGCTCATGGAGAGAATGCCAAGAGTGTGCAAAGCAGTAATCAGAGCAAAGGGTGGCTATTTTGAAGAAACTAGAATATAAAACATGTTTTCAGTTATTTCACCTTTTTTTGTTAAGTACATAACTCCACATGTGTTCATTCATAGTTTTGATGCCTTCAGTGAGAATCTACAATGTAAATAGTCATGAAAATAAAGAAAACGCATTGAATGAGAAGGTGTGTCCAAACTTTTGGCCTGTACTGTAGCTGCATGCTAACGTCAGGGAAACATGTAATCTTGGTTTGAGATGTTGTTAATTTCTCCCCAATTTCTGATCATATTCCTACTAGAACATGTTGAGTTGTAAAGATTTTGGTTTTGAAGCTTCTGCTGGAGATTTTTTCAAAGTAGAAAGTGCCACAATACTCTGTTATAGTCTTTCCCCTGGCTGCAAGTACACTGCTACATGTAGCTACATGCTAACATCAGGGAAACATGTAATCTTGGTTTGAGATGTTGTTAATTTCTCCCCGATTGCTGATCATACTCCTACTAGAACATGTTAAGTTGTAAAGATTTTGGTTTTGCAGCTTCTACTGGTGATTTTTTTTTGAAGGTAGAAAGCTCCACTATACTCTATTACAGTCTTTCCCCTGGCTGCAAGTACACTGCTACATGTAGCTACATGCTAATGTGAGGGAAAAATGTAATGTTGGTGTCTGATGTTATTTGTCCCAGATTTCGGATAATATTCCTACTAAAACATGGCCAGTTGTGATAATTTTGATTTTGAAGCTCTCATTGGTGACTGACCAATCAGACCAGACTAGTTTTTGTTGAGAGACAGCTGCTAACATGTCGTGTTTCAGACAGAGGGTGAATACAGGTATATTCAGGCAGACAGTATGAGAAAAAAAGTGTTTTTGACCATTGAATTATGTGAACATGTTCTTGTAAACACTCAACATACACGAATAAACCTGAAAACTAGCATAATAGGTCCTCTTTAATATATATGCCTTGGGTGCTTTGGTTTCTATGAGCATCACTTCTATGGTAACCTTAAAAATGTCCTCTCTGTATGAATACACAGATATTCATGATCAGGATATGGAGATTCCTATAACATTAACACATAATTACTAGTAACACCTTTACGGGAATAAGAGTTTATATTGGGGAAATTGTTCACGTTAATACATCCAGCTGCAGTTTGAGTTTGAGGTAGCTTCCTCAAACTAAATTCAGGTACATTTATACCTACAGCATCTACTCTTCTTATAATTTTAATAGAAAACTATATCACTTTAACTGTCCACATTTGCCTTCTAAGGTTTATGTGAGGCAGCGCTAAGGTAGACGGCTACATTCTTTAATGCACTACTTAGCAAAGACATTAAGACATTCTAACACAATCGGCCACGACTCAAGAGAGCACTGTTAGGACTACAGTTCCCTTGGTCCTCTTGAGGATGTCCACTGCTTCAGCGTGAGTCACACCCTCCAGACAATGTCCATTCACAGCAATGATCTGATCTCCACGTTTCAGCCTGCCGTCCTCTATGGCCGCCCCCTGCAGAGGAAGAAGACTAGTCCATCACCATGCAAGGTAACAAGATGCACCATGACATAACAAGGATTTGATCTCATCGTAGTATAAGGAGGGACACTCTGCTACTTTTAGTAAGCTCAAAATGATTGTATCATCAGAATATTTTATGATGTAATTATTTTGATGACAGCTTCTACAATCATTAGTATATAATGTGAACAGGATGGGTGAACTCACAGCCCCTTGTGGTATTTGAAAGGGTGCTGTTCACCCTAACCTGTTGTGATCGGTTAACTAAAAAAGAGTGGAACCACTTTATGATAGAAGAGCTGACTTCTAAGTTTACAAGCTTCTTAATCAACAGCTGAGTGCATTCAGTATCGAAAGCTGAACTAAAATCAGCAAAGAGAACTCTTGCATATGCTGCTGAGTTCTCTATGTGCTTGTTAATTAGATGAGCCACACTGATGACCGCATCCTCCGTGCTGCGCCTGGCCCGGTACGCAAACTGGAGCGGGTCCAGACGAGATGCTACTTCAACTTTCAAAATGCGCACCATTATTTTCTCAAAATACTTCGTAACAACACATGTTAGTGCAACTGGTCTAAAATCTCTGTTTTCACCTGGGCACTGAACTTTTGGAACAGGTATTATAATGGATTTCTTCCAGAGGGCTGGAACAATGCCACTCTCAAGGGACCGCTGGAAGATGGGGCACCAGGCAGCAGTTAACTCAGTGGAGCATTTTTTCAATACCATGGCTGGCAACCCAACCGGCCCTGTTGATTTCTTGTTACACACCTTGCTAAAAAATTGACTGAACCTGTTGAGGTGTTATTTTCCAAGAATCTATATTTCATCTATATTTTCCTGAAGCTGTCAAATGTTGGAAATCAAAAGTACAATATTCACTTCTGAAATGTAGTGGAATACTTGTAAAGGAGCAGAAAATGGAAATACTTAGTAAAGTACAAGTTCCTTAAAATTGTACTTAAGTATAGTACTTGGAGTAAAAATACTTAGATTACTCACTGGTTACAAAATATTTATCATCATAAACCAGATGTTAAAAATCTGAAGCCATTTGCAGTTTTCAATTGTGGCGTCTAACTTTTGTGTTCTTGTCTCTCACTGTCTATGAACACAGACACTTTGCCAGTGTAACTGAAAAGATCAGATTTCTGAACCAGGTTTGCTTTGAAAGATTTCCCTCCAGAGGAAGTCCTCTCACCTTGTTGAAGACAGTTTTGATGTAGATCGGCAGGTCTCCGTGCGGGCTGCTGAACCCTCCTACGATACTGAAGCCCAGGCCCGAGGAGCCTCTCTCTAGAGTGATGGTCTTATACGTGCGAGCACTGCGGGAATAAGATGCAAAACAATGGAGGTGTGTTGCCGGGTATGCTCGTGCTCCACTAGCTCTGTGTTTGTTTGTCTGTGTGTTAGTAAAATAAGTTTTTCATCTCACCAGGACAGACAAGAGGTGAGAGAAGAGGTGAATTTCTGTTTTTTCAGTATTGAAGTGTAATATTCAAGACCACAAATCCTCAACTTTATTCAATAAGAAATAAATTAGAGTTACAAATAATTATTTTTTACAAGCAAGTAATCTACTTCCTTCAATTCATCTTTTTCTTGTAAAATTTCCAAGAGAAGTTTTACATTATCTTCAAATGTATTATGTAGAGTATTATTTAGTTTGATAAGCTGTCAAAAAAACCAACAAAAGTGTTATTTTCACAGTCAAATAAATAACAAAGAAATTGGTATTTGCTATTGTTAACTAAAAGTTGCCTGGAAAAACAACAACACTGAAAACAGTCAATCGAGAACAAAGCAACATACAAATCACAAGAAACACTACAGCTCATGCTGTCTGAAAGAACATTCGTCTCAATGCTTCTCACACAGTGGCTGCACTTTCTCATTATCGTCAATAGATTGCCTGCCTTTGTCCTTATTCGGTGAATGAACCAGGAGGCAGCCAAAGTAAGATCATAAAGTACAACAGCAGGAGACTGTCAGAAAACTGAATCTTACCAGAGGTTGTTGTGAAAGCGGGGCAGGCTGCTGGCCTGGCCTGACGACTGCGTGTGCACATCATTGTGGTCCTTTGTGCTGCACCCACCCGAACCCGCTGCCACCTGGTTACAAACAATCTGACACTAATCTGATATCCTACTGTTGTAATAACACCATCACGCCTGCCCTTGTGTTAGTACTAAAAATATGAAACCTTTTGATGTTTTTTTTGGTTGTTTTTTTTACACACACAATGTACTTGTCAAGAACAACTGAAATCCCGCTTCTTACAAATACCTCTTTGCTCTGTTGCAACAAAAATCTTTGCAGAGGCTTATTAACATGAAGACAAACAGCATGAAATCAGTGTCGGATACACTATTGTCTTAAAATTACAGTATAGTGTTCACATGCAAAACACAGAAAATGAGAAAATGAGTGGACGTCTGAAACTCCAGCGTGAAATCATTTTTATTCCTCGTTAAAGAGTGTTTTGGGTATGTTATTATGTCTTGGCAAATTTTATAAAGGTAATAACGACCTGGAGGAAGCAGGTTAGGGTTCATTAAACCAAAACTTGCTGACATTATTGCAACTTAGTGCCTCACAGGCATTATAAATTAACTACTGTACGTCTCACTGTGACATTACCTGTAGACTGATGGTTCCGGTGGCATTCTTCAGCAGGACTCCAGCTTGGACATGAGTCATCCCCTCCACGGACACATCATTGATTCTGAGGATCCTGTCTCCTGTCTAATTGACACACACAAACTTCCATATCAGCGAGCACTTTTTATCGACTTACAGAACACTCATTCCCCGGAGACATCCTCTAACCTTTACCAACATGGCCACGGCTACATAACTAACCTCAATCCGTACCCACTCTTAAAGGGACAGTTCACTGCAAAGTCATTTATCTTTACTCTTGTCTGTAGTTCTATTTATAAATCTAGATTGTTATTGGTGTGAGTTGCAGTGTTGGAGATATCAGCTGTAGAGATGTCTGCCCTCTCTTGAATATAGTGGAACTAGATGGCACTCAGCTTGGTGCTCAACTCAAATGCCTCTTTTCAGAAACAATTATGTGGTTACTCGAGATAACCCACAGACCTTTTTGTGAGCAATTTTATGTAGGAACTATTTTCTTTGTACCAAATCACACCTCCCAACTGTATCACTATGCAGAAGAAAGCCTGCATCTACTGCTAGCCCGCCTGGCTATAACGTATGAGCCACATCACTAATGCTAGCTAGCTCCCACCAGACCCGGGCGGTGCACAGATCAGTAAACTGAAGAGTAGCAAAATTAACTTATAAACCGATGAGCGTAACTAGTCAAAAATATTCTCAGCAACTGTTGACATCCCTAGCACGACTACTACCTAATTACATTCACCAGCTGTATCACCGTACAGAAGGAAGTGTGCAACGACCCTTACCTAGTATCACTGTGCTAGCTAACGTTGGCTCAGCCAAGGAGGACGGCATTACTGTTTACATCTCATGCTGTGACGACCACAAGCTTCTCGTCCATGAATAGATGCACGCTTCCTTCTGTGCAGTGATATGATTGGCGGGTGTAATTCAGTAGGAAGAAAATAGTTCCTGCATGAAACTGCTCACAACAAGGTCTGTGGATTATCTTGAGTAACCAGGTCATGGTTACTGGAAAGAGACATTGCTGTTGAGTTTTTCAAATGCACTTTTTTGGCCCTTTGAGCACCACAAGCCTAGCGCCATCTAGTTCAGTTATATTGGAGAGAAGGCAGACATCTCTACAATCGATATCCCCAACACTCGGCAGCTCACACCAAAACAATCTAGATTAAAAAATAACACTACATGTAAGAGGAAAAATATGTATTTTTGATTTTGGGGTGAGCTGTCCCTTTTTCCCCCCTTTTTATGATTTTATAAAGTCTCCTTTCTTTTTTGAAACTTTAAGTAGGCTACATTTCCTAATCTATAATTGGGACGGCCGCTATATATACTGAATGTATTTCTCATCCTTGCATGTCTGATAAGATAAGGTAATCCTTTATTAGTCCCACAGCGGGGGAAATTTGCATTGTTTCAGCAGCAAAGGGGATAGTGCAAAACAAGAAGCATCAGTAAAAAACACAAACTAATATAATAAGTAAACAGTAGAAACAGAAAAATGTACCATACATTTTATGTTTTATACAGTATTTCAGTATGTTATAGAGCTATGTCAACCCGTACTGTGGTTTTTAAACCCTGACAAAGACAGTGTTGCTGCAACATAGTTCTTTTCTAATAAATGTGCATCTGCAAATATGATAATAAGTGTGGTTTGACACAGTCAGGATTCAAATCTTAACCCTACAATCAAGTGATTACACTTAAATGAACAGTTAACCTTTGTTAGGTATGACTTATTGTCCTCAGGCAGGAGGAGGGTCCTTAAGATGGGATGACGATTACAGATCTATCTCCACAACGTGATGAATACACAATACACAAGCACACACACACGCACTAACACAAGCACATGCACACAAACACAAACACAAGCACATATACATCGGCACTCCCCACCTGTAATTTCTGCGTTTTGGCAGCCAGTCCATTGGTATCCATGGTAGCAATAAAAAGAGGTACGTTGTCATGGGGACTGCCCACTCCTCCTGCTACACTGATGCCCAGGGAGTCACACGGACCCTGTGGTGATAGCACACACACACACACAGACACACACGCACGCATTATAGACCCTGTTAGACAATACCTGTGAATCACATGGCAGATTCTGCACATGAGATAAACACCTAATGTTATGTAAGCCTGGGGTCCAGCCAGGTAACCAGGCTATATATATCTCAAATTTGGAGTTTGACATTTGAAGTGAAAGAACAAACGCTCTCAGCAGTCACAACCAAATATCTACTTTCTGAAAATATACATAAAAATAATTTTAGTCATTAACTGTTACTCCATGATTGTGTGGAACACTAATAATAACACCTATATTATTATTTCAAGATTCTGTGCCCTACCTTTTGTATTATTACTTTTCTGATGTCAGGGTGGTCTTGAAATGCTGTGGGAGGGGAAAGAGATACATGTTTGCTTAATAAGCATGAAGATGTTATCAGCGTTCTTTCCAGTCAAACTTAACATCTGAAAAAGCAGCATCCATGATTAAAGTCTGAATAATAAGCATGTATATGCTTGGAGAACACGAGGGACACTCACAAAAGCTCCCTGTCTTGTTATCTGTCTCCCTCTGGTGGCTGAAAGGAGCATCACATCCACTCGAGGGGGTCAGGGTGGAACAGTCAGAGTCTTCGCTCTGGATAAAACACAACTTAAAGTACTCCTAGGTTCACAAAGTACTACTGTTAAAATGGTACAAATGAGTAAAAGTTGAATCACAGACAACATTAAAGTTAAGGTTGGTAAATTTTATTAAAATATCTTGTTGTCATATTTGCTGAAACTGTCACTATATCCACAGAGTTTTACATGAGACAGAGCATGCTTCTCTTCCTACTTGTAGTGCTTCTAATGGCATTTGCTAAAATCCACCACAGCTAAACATAATTAACCAATCAGAGTCGAGGTATCTCAAAGGGAGTTTTCAATCATGTAAATCATGGCTGAATGAACTGTAGTCAAACTGTCAAACTAGGCAACGCTGATTAAATTTGAATTAAAAGTCTGTTACTGCATTGCCTATTTCTCACCTCAAATGTTGTCAGAAACATATTTTAGTGTACTGTTTGTTCTTGCTGCCTCTTTTTCAGCTAAACAGTACACTAAAACATGTTTCTGAAAACATCTGAGGTGAGAAGTAAGCAGAGCAGTAACAGAATCTTGATTCTATTTGATCATTGCTGCCTAGTTTGACAGTTTGACCACAGTTCATGAGCAATGACTGAAATGATTGACAGCTGTGTTAGAGACTCCTCCGCTCTGACTGATTGATTTTGATCACATGTGGTGACAGCTGCAGCAAATATGACAAAAAGTTCTTTTTTCTGAAAGTTACCAACTGTAACTTTAAACTGAGCTGATCTGTCTGGCCTCTTAATACAATAATACACTTTTTAAAAAGCCAAATTCAGGGTTCCCACACATTTTTACCAATGAATGTTCAAAACACTTCACTAACATTTCCACAATGTCATTTCCATGATTTTATTATTTTATTAATATGAAGGCCAAGCCCCTTTTTGGGTGATAGAAAATCGAAGATGGCGATGCAATTTGCCATGTGTTTGGATTATATTGCTGACACGTCTGTATGTATTTCTTGTTTTAAAAACAGTTAGTTTGAGGGACAGTGTGATGCTGCAGTACTGTATGACTGTACTGTAGCAGTCTCCCACTTAAGCGAACTATCCATCAGTAGTTACTGTCATCAGCATCATTTAGTCATTTACCACACTTAGAGTGAATATTCATGTGTCTTATTTGCCTCATATCTCTGTGTGAAAGCAATGGTTAACGGATGTGAAGCCTTGTTATTTTTCCCCCAAAGGGGACATGGTCTTTGGGATGACATAATGTCAATCTGGTTTATGTGTATCACTTGATACTAGTGACATTTAAACGGTCATGCAGTGCAGCACAACATTTTCAAATAGTAAAACAAGAAATGTAATTTGCGTAGTACTAGAGATATTTTAATCAATAGCCAAAACAATGACATTTTGTGAAATCCAAACCATTTCCAGGCCTGGAAAACAGCTTTTTTAATTTCATAACTCTTCCAGAAATTACATGACTGTGGGAACCCTGTAAATTCAACACCTGTAAACATACATTTTTGCTTCTTCCCTTGAAAGCCTATCACAGATTAGACACAGCAAGCCACTGGAAAGAGCTTACCTGGCTCTGCCTTGAGTACTGAAGCCCAGCTTTAAAACGAGCCACCTCCAGGTGAACGACTCCACAGCAGTTCTGAGAGCAAAGTAACACACCTCACATAAAGTTATGAATCTGTCAGAAAAATTACATAACCTTATTACTAATTTGTTTATGGACTTTGTATGAATAAGTGTTAATGTGTCTGACCCGCAGAAGCTTGTGTGCATACTCCTGCGATGCTGCCCGGACATCCTCCTCATTGATTGACAGGATCTGGTCACCTAGCAACAACCTGCCATCTGAATCTGCTACGCCTCCTTTGATGATATCTGACACAAAGATGCCCGTGTCATTACTGTTGAAAGAAAACAGAGGTCAAAAACTGTGTCTGTTCCACGCTTATAGACTGAATTATGTGACCTGTAATCCTGCTGTTTTGCATAACGTCACACTTGATTGTGCAAATTATGATGTGATGATTATAAACCTCTTTTTTTACAATAATGATCCCTGATGCCACACAGTCCGCGACCTCTAACTGGATAAATGCCTCAGAAGTCAAGAACACTTTGCTGTTTTGATACTTGTAAAAGGGAGTTTAACTTTACAGCCTGTAATTACCAAAGACCTTTGATTATTATACACCCTTGACAAAACACGTGAAAAGACTCTAAAGTATGGATAACTATCATTTTTCTCACTGACATGGGTCAGTTAATAAGAGAGCAAAAATAACTGCATTGCTTTTTCAAGAACACCATGAAAAAGTCAACTTCAAAAATGTATAAAAGTAAATTATACCATCCAAAACAACATCAAAAAGAAAAATAAATGAAATTATATGAATCTGGATATACATTTTAGACTTGTTTTTCCTTATCAAATGAGGGGAGAGGAAGCGGGCTTCAAAGTCTGTTTGATATTTTGAAATGAAGAAAAGAAAAAGTTTAACATTAGGATGACGACTAACTATGGTAAAGCTGAACTCTCATATCCAGCCCTGCAAACCACAGTGAACCTGATTGGTGAGCTTTGCTGGGTTCAGAGGCTTTATCAAGGTGTACATGAAAATGACATTGTTGGCCACCTGATTAGTTTTAGTGACAGAAGTGACAGAAGTCTGGCTGAAACATCAGGAAGAACCCTTCTTGCTTAAAGGTATACCATTTAGGATTTTCCTGATAAAAAAAGCATAGACTGATATAAAAGTAATTCCCCTTAATCATTACTTTTGACCCACTAGAAGTGTGTATTGGTGAATGTATCTGCAGAGACTCTACCCTCTGCTTGGATTTTCTTGTTTTCTTCATATTTGCCATGTTTGGGACATTGGTGGATGTGCAGCCCCCAGCAAATAACAGCGTGCTGGTGAGGATGGCACTTTAGAAAAAGGTTAGTAACCAGGTGCCAAAGTGGAGCTACAAGAATCACAGGATCAGTGGAGGAAAACGCAAATGTAGTGAGGTGAAACGGCAAGTGGACTAAGCTCTTTCCTAAACTAGAGTGAATCTGGGGTTGGCTTTCACTTTCTGTTTGGCTGGTCAGCTCTGAAGGAGAAGATTAAGAGTGATGTGGAGTTGGCCTGTTTTCTGTTGGACTGTTTGGTGGAACAGTTAGCTTATTAGCTTGCTAAAGTATTGACTTTTCCAGTACAACAGAAGTAACATTACTATAATGGTAGCTTGGATTGTACTTAAGAGCAACTTAGGGAGGAAGGGCCAACAATTCATGCATAGTGTACCTTTAAGTCCAGCTGTTTTTGGATTTACTGACTATAAAAACATTGTCCCATTATAGCAATAATACCATTCTGCACACAGCAAATTTTGACTGACAACTAACTTCTGGTTCAGTTTGAGGGAAAAAAGACACCATATGTTTGCTAAATCACTTGCTTTTGTTATAGAGTGGCATGATTTAGCAAATGCCTACTTTATTTTTCACCTATTTCTCATCCTCACAAGTTGCAATGGTTGGTGATATGTTTGCACTTATGTCACATATGATGGTGACGATGGCATCACAGTGCTCTTTAATATCGTATCAACCTCTTCTATTGGTCTGGCTTTCATTTAACAGGAAAATTCCCTGTGACTGTTTTTCAAACTTATATCTCATAGCAAAACTGGCCTTGAAAGATCTAGGCTGGCGCCACAAGTCTATTTCAGTTAGGACCATGTACAGTACGTCAAAGAAAACTTTTTTTCCATTGCAGTATTGTATTTGGTGGTATGCCTTTGGTCTGGGGCCTCTCTGCCTTTTGTCAGGCTTACGCAGAAAGCCTGAGGTGGAGAGAGCGCACCTCTCTGCCCTTCCATGCGCATACAAGGAAAGCTGAGGCAGACAGCACAAACCTTCTTGCCTTTCCATGCATCTACATGGAAAGCCTAAGGCAGGGAGAGCCACAGCAAAGACCCCCCAGGAACAGAACAGAGCAGCATCAATGACAAACAGAAATGACATTGATAAGTCAGACACAGCATGAAAAGGAGGAGCTGGGGTGGAGGCGGGTTGCAAAGCGGCTTGCAGTGGAAGCAGCAACAGTAGGCAGGCCAAAGTGGTTTAAATAGGGTGCCCTGAATGAGATTTGCTAATTGGTTGCATAGAAAGGATTCATGTGATCTATCAGCTGACTCCCTTCCATCAATCAGCTGCTCCATAAGTTGATTGGCTGTTTGAGATCAGCTGATGTAGCTGGGATGTGAGCTGAGCTTGGCATTGTGTCCTGCCTGAACTACTGCTATGCTGAATATCTATGATTTGAACTACATGTCCCATGTCTTTAAGCTACATTAAAATTTGGTCCGACACGCACACATGATGGTACAAAAAACTTTGATGTTTCCCATTTGTTAAGCAACGCTATCAATATACCTCTTCCCCACGGTGATGAAACCCAGCCCCTCTCCAGGATGAGGCCTCAGCTCCAGGCTGAAGACGTCCCATAGGTCCTCCTCCCTGTAGGCCTCCTGGTGCCTGTAGACACACAGGCGAATGCGCTGGGTGGTGAGACGCAGCACGCCAATGGCCTCATCGTGAGTGGCTTGCCGCAGATCAATACCATTTACCTGGGAGAGGAAGTAAGAGAGATGCATGCTGTAGTTGTCTGACGGAGGTTAGGAGAAACTGTATTTGTATATCAACAGCAGAGGAATTTTACATCTAATGACAAGGAGTAAATTAATGGCTACAGTGAGGGCCATGGCATCAATCTGCAAGCATGTTATTGCTTTGAACCACACAGACGTTTCGGGCAATATGCCCTGCTGGTAATATTAAAAAGTCAAATTGGAGTGCTGTTCTAGTCTTTCATTTGTCTTATTATCTACATCAAGGATCAAGCACCCACTCTTCAAGGTCTAACTGTGAGTTGAGCATGCTGTGTCTTATTTTTATTGCTTCGAACCATCGATGTTTGGCCACTTCCTGTTGCTCTGCATAATTTGTGCACTGTCTTGTGCATGCTGATTTTGTTGCTGTCATTGTCATTTCAGCATAACATTGTCAAGATATTCTCACTCTCAACTTGTCAAATACGGCAGGAAGGTCAGTGGCTCCATGCGTCAAACTATGATGCTCTACGTGGCTGTAGTAATTATGAAGGGAGCAAAGACTGAAGTCAGGTGATGTAGTATAAAGAGCGACAAAGTCTGTGGATGAGTCAAACAAACACAGGACTTTCCCCCAGGAGACCAATGTTTGTGTCCCGTATGAAACCAAAAGTCAATGCTGACTTACTTTAACCTGAGGTACATAAGTTGCCTCATGTAACAAACTTATCTTACGTCATGTACTTAATGTTAGAAACATTATGTAAAAAACGTGAATATTTTAACCCAAACCATGATCTTTCTCCTCACCTAACCAAGTAGTTTTGGTGCCTAAACCTAACTGGAAGGTAACTTTGAAAACACATTGAATGCATTTAACAAACAGAAGTTGACTTCTGCAAAACTGATGCCAGAGAAATAGGTTGAGCGTCATAGTTTGAAGTGCAGAGCCATTGACCAAGCTGCTGTATTTGACAAGTTGGGAATGAGGATGTGTTGCTTTTGTCTGCATTTCTGTAGTCGCTCAGAAGGTAACGTGGTTATCTACAAATCGGAAAGCCTGATCCGTGGCTCTTGCACTCTAAATGTCAAGGTAGCGCTTGGCAAAATACTGAACTGTGTGAATGCATATGAATGCTTATGTGAAGTGCAGGTGGCACCTTGTACGGCAGCCTTGGCCACAAGTGTATGAATGTGTGTGAGAGTGGGTGAATGGTGCTTATGTTTTAAAGCATTTTGAGTGGTTGCTAAGACTAGTATTACTATACAAATGTAGTCCATTCACCATTGGCTTTAGCATATCTATCTAAAGGACTGCATATTAAAATTAGTTGACCAGCTAACACTGGCAAATTTACATCACCAAAATTAAATAATAAATGATTACATCTGACCAAAGTGCATTATGTTTTATGATCTAATCACAACACATTTGGAAGAAACACTGTCACAGATTCAGCCAGCTGAATAGATAATGGTGTGCTTGTGTGTACCCACATTACCTCCAATATCTGGTCTCCAGCCTGCAGCCTTCCGTCTCTCTGTGCTGCTCCTCCATCATTTACTTCATGGATTATTACTGCCCCCTGGTGGAAAAGTCATAAAACACTTATTATTATGGAGAATCCAATCCAGCTAAATTCAATCAGCATTGAAAATACTTATTTTTTCACAATACAGCATCATTATTTCCACTGACAATGCCTTTGCAGATGCATTTTATCATGAAGAAAACATACACAAACCCATAATGCCTAATCATTTAGGATTATCAAGGAAATTATGATTGATATGTGCTGAAATTAAATGTTGATGTCAAATATCAATTGGCTGCTCTCACCAGCAGAGTGTCACATCCTCCTACAATGCTGAGGCCCAGGCCTATGTTTCCTTTACAGAACTCTATGGTGGTCTCCCTGCCAGCCACAACTGGGCAGCTCAGGGGATCAGAAGTCGTGGGAGCTGATCCTAGCAAATCAGACCGCCCTGTGGGAGAGGTCTGCATTGTATTGTGTGATGAAGAGGAGGAGACAGGGAGGGAGGCAGGAGAGAGAGAGCAGGGGTGAGAAAGAGACACCGGGGGAGGTAGTGAAGAAGAGGACGGGAGACTCTTGGAGCGGCTGATGGAGAGCTTGACAGTGACCTGGTGTTTGAGAATCAAACTGGACACCTGAATACAGAGGAGACAGGTGAGTCATAAATCATCAAATCAGCTTGACCTTGTGTGTCAGTGTGTTTGTCTCTGAGTGTGTTTGCACCTTGTCCACTGACAGTCCTGCCACAGGTTCATCACCCACTGCTATGATTCTGTCTCCAACCTTAATCCTGCCATCCTGCACCCAGACAGAAACATGAATTAAAAAAAGGAAGATAAGCAAAATTGTATGAAAGTGTATATAACACAAGAATGGAGAGGAAGTGAGATCAAAAACCAAACACACCCTCTGGACAAATATCTGAATAACTGTTGCCTAGGGGCCTACGTGAAAGCTTATTGTTACATGACGACATCACTTTAAAACATGGAACCATCATCTCAAGGTTACCATGGTTTAGATATACCAGAATTATCAAGAGATTAAAGCTATCACATCACAGTGTGCAGTAATGTAGAGCTGATTGGCACCCTTTTAAATTTAATAGATTATTGATTGACAAAGTTATAGTCACACCATTGGGGCTTAATACTGTACATGCAAAAATATGATGAAATTATGTGCAATCCATGTGCTGAGATAATTCCAAGAATAATTCCAGACATTTTTCATAGAGGTGGGTGGATGCGGCACCTGAAAATCTAGAAGTGGCACAGCAAAACCAAAAGTCATAACTGAATTTCAGCAAGTCTGTTATAACGCTTTAGCTGGTTTATAGGGTAGCTGAAATACTTTTGTTTCTTCTTTTACAATTATCTGATGTGCATGGTCTAATAGTGGTACAGTTATCATTTTGAGTTCAACAATAATCCTGGTATAATGTGTTATGTGTCTATACATGAATATGTGTTGAGCGATTAATTGTTCTTCAAATAGGCTTGTTGTCCTTTCCAGTAAGAAGACAAATATACAGCTTTGAAGCTAATTTAAACTCCCTTTACATATGAAAATAGAAACATTCATTTCAAATGTTGTGAGCATCATTGCCTACATATTTCCATGTGTCCTTTGTGCTGGTATAGATACATCCAATAGATGGCACAAGAGGGCAAAGTCAAAAGTTTCCCACAACAACAAACATGGCGATGGTGGGGAAGGTCATAATTATAACATAAATAACATGTCATGTCTCCTTTAAAAGATTTCCTTAGTTAAGAAAAAAAAAACGTTATTTTACAGTGGTAAAAGTTTCAATTGAGATAGTTTGTTTGCTTGGGCTCGTGCTTGTGATGCCGGTTATCATCTCACAGAGTTGGCTTATAGTTAGATAAGGAAAAAATGGCGGAAGAAAAGATGACAAGAAAACCATATTGGTCAGAGGAGAAAATGATTATACTTCTGGAGGAATGCAATCATAGAAAGCACACACCACAGAGTAAATTTGATCCCCAAACACCAGAAAACAGGAAAAAGGAAGAAATTGCAAGGAAAATAAATTCAGTCGAATCATAAGTGTAAAATCAAAAGTGTACAGAACAGAACACTCTTCTCAGGGTGTGTTAGTTTTTTTCATTTATCACCATAAACTCTGCCATGTTGCAGTTAAGATAGAGTAGTAGTGAAGGAGAAAACCATAAATACTTAAGTGAACTAGGACTTTGAGGAAAATCTCAACTTATGGTGTTTTGTGCAACTGGCCCTAGGATTTTACATACAAAATATATGCCCATCTTATAAAATCTGGTGCACTGTTGATTAAACTACCCAACATTTGATAAAGTTGTGCAAAGGTCCAGTGTTTAGAATTTAGTGGCACCCAGTGGTGAAGTTGCAGATTGCAACCAACTGAAACTTGTCCCGTGAGCCAAGTGTGTAGAAGTGTCCAACACAAAAATGGCAAAACACAAGAGGCCCTATCTAGAGCCAGTGTTTGGTTTGTCCATTCTGGGCTACTGTAGAAACAACATGGCGGACTCTGTGGATGCAAACCCGCTCTGTATGTAGTTATAAACAGCTCATTCTAAGGTAATGAAAACACAATTCTTTTTTTTCCAGGTGATAATAAACTAGTGCAAAGATAGTTATGAACATTGTATACCATTTCTGCCAATAGATGCTTCTAAATCCTACACACAGGAACTTTAACATGGCTCCACCTTGCCTGTCTTAAGCATTAAAAGCTGCTTAGATCTTAATGCACCAGTAATAATAATCCAATAACATAACACAGCACTCTGACAGGGAGCCATATGCATAATAAATGAACAAGTGATGATAATTCATACACATTATAGATAAGAGAGGGACCAGTGAAACTAAAATGGTTGAGGCTACATGAAAGAATAATGTTATGCAATGAAGATGTTGAAGATTATGATGATGCTAGTGGTGATGTCACACCTTACTGGCAGTGCCGTGCTGGATCAGGGACCTGATCACCACTCCTTCACTGGACTCCTCCTCTGCCAGGCAGAGGCCAAGACCTGTGTGATCCTGAGGGGACATTGAGATAACAACCAACAGTTAGTGAAGCAAACAGCTAATATATTTAAAATAACGTGGGAAAGTCACTATATCTTTTACTGCGTTTTGCTACTATCACTCAAGTGGTTTGCTCGAGCTGTTAAGATATGTGCAGCTGGAGGCCTGACAATGGTTAATGCCAAGATTTACTGAAGGTATTGCACCTGAGGCAGGATGATGTGCTGGATGTCTCTGGATAATCCTCCACGCTCTGCAGAGTCTGTCTCAGAGCCGATGGTGTCCTCACACTCTGTCGTGGATCCCTGTGCCGTTTGACCCAGAGCCGCTTTATTCCTGGTGAAACAAAACCAAATCTGGTGTTATCCCTGAGCTGGTCATTTAACACTTACGTCCTGTTTTGTTAAAGTTTGAGAGAAATGCAAATGCCACCAGTAAATCCATCTGCATGTTACCTGATGAGAATGATCTTGACTTTAGATGGAGCATTATTGATTATGGTGGAGGCGTTCTGGTGACTCCGACCGTACAAGATCTGACCGTTGATCTGGAAGAAAAAAAATCACGTCGTGTTCTGTCTCCACCGATCTTTTTCTTTATCCCATCCACCTCCACTCCCATCCACCTCCACATAAATCTGTCTTTCTGCCATCTTCTTCTGACTCTCCTCCCCCTCTCAGCCTCTCCTCTACCTCGATTTTCCTCATCATGTCTATTACACGGTTGCTCATTGCGAGAATCCAGCCCAGCACCAACCATCCTTCAAATGGTAATTTGTCTGATAAATCTTCTAGTGCAGGCACACTCAACGCTCTCTACTCATCCATGCCTCCTACCCACAACCCACTGCTCTCTTTTTGCTGCTCTCAATTTGTCTCTCTTGGACTCTAACCATCCTTACCCTACCGAAAAACTCTATTCTCAACCCTCCTAAATGACTGTCCCTTACTGTCCCCATTCACTTTCCTCCTTACCTCCAGGAGCTCATCTCCGACCCGTATCCTCCCATCCAAACCGGCAGGTCCTTGAGGGTCAATATCCGCCACGTGGACACTCATGCGGGCCCTGGAACCATCCTTGTTCCCTGAAAGGCTGATTCCCAGGCCATGAGCTGCAGGGTCCTTCTCCAACTCAATCATGTGGAGCTTCCCAGACAGGCTGCCATAACGCTGAAGCATCTTTTCTAGGAGAGACAGAGTTAACAAGGAGGAGGAGGAAAGTGTGGAATGCTATATGTTATGACTGACACTTCATGTGAAGAGGAAGCAGTACAACCTAAAGAGCTTGTGTGAGCGTGTGATGCTGCAATCTGTCTGTGTGCTGCCTACATCCGTTTGCATTTACTCATGCTCATAAATATTTGTGTAACTGAAATTTTTATATGTGTAAATAGTCACAGACTCCCTTAGAGGCACCCTGTAGACCACTAGTAGCACCATGGATCAATGTTTCCGTGAATGGGTCTCTATTATGTTTGTTTGTGTCCGTGTGCACAAGGACAACTTTGCAACAGCATGGCACATACTGATCCATGGGAAGCCAACAATAATATACCAAAACACTTTATGAGAAAAGAGACTGTATTCAACACATTTGTTAGACCTCAAGGATACACACAGTGCATTGTATAAGTAACACTGAATGAAAACAGAAATTTTGTTTGTTAACAAGAAAACTCCACAGGGCACGTCTACCACTATAAGTGTGTAATGCAAATAAAAGAATGTGTAGAACTTGAATAAGAGTTATTTCTTTGTGCAAAATAAAAGACTGGAATGTCAGCAGTTCTCATCTGAATATCCATCCTATTCATACAAATGAAAGTTGCTCTTGCAGAACATACTGCAGATACACGTTCTTCAAGCTTTTGCATCCTTGGCTCATAATGCATTCTCAATAAAGTCTGAGCCTGGACAAGTGGCTCCACACATGACTGCCACCCTGATACAACTGCTGCCACCCCCATGATAATCATTAGAGGCTGATATTACTGTCTTTGAGAGTGGCATGCTCAATTTTTTAAGCTAGCGTGATGGTACCTTGTGAAACTAGATAATCTAGTGCATCCACTAGTACTGCTCATATTGCTCTTCGTGGCTTTCAGATAATGGACCTTCCGATACATGTCCAAATTGTGATCATTCAAAGAGTATCCCTGAATGTGTGAGACTCCTGGCACAAAGTCTGCCTTGGCCAGAGGACATCAAGTGACCTGCACTGTCCCTGTGTGAGTCTGTGTGACGTCCTCATAATGCAGACTTACTCCTGCCAGTATCGCTCTCATCCTCAGCAGCCGTTGTGATTGGTGTTGTGACAGTTGCAGGGCTTCTCCGATCCGTTCTAACGCATGTTGGCGAAGGTACCTTGGGAGAAGTTTTGCATTATTGAACAGGCAGAGTTGGAGATGCCTCAGGGGTCCTTCGGGCATGAGTTGGACTACCCCTGAGGCTTGTTGAATGTGCTTGATGTAGCAGTGGGGAAAAACTGACGAACAAGATGAATTAATGAACACAGTTTTAATGTCAGCTAAAAATAACATGAAAGATGACCAGAATCATGCATTATTTTGTAACCAACTTACAGTGCATGGAAAAATAACTTCAAAAGAATGCACTGTCTATTTAGAGAGTTATGCATCTCCACCAAAGAGAAAAACAAAGGGTTTAAACAAACAAGGTAGCTGCAAGGGACTTTGAACTACAAGGGTTCTATCTACAAATATGCACGTTAATTAAGTTTTTTGGAAGTTGGCTTAGTGCAAATGCTAATGCAAGGCTGCTTTTAAGATGGTGCATACCCAGGATAACACATGCAAACACACATACACACACAGACACACGGCAATGTACCAACCTTAAAGGGAGTGGGTGTGAAGGGGTTTGTAGGGGAGAGACTAAGGAACAGACTGGGAGTCTCTGCTTCCTACGATCATGAGGGGAAACACAGATATAGTGCTGTACACATCACCACTAGAACAGCCATCTACCTCTCAAAAGACCCTTTAAAGCTCCTCCATTCTTTTTGGAATACCATGTGGGTGTTAATGACTCATCACTCTATATATAAGATAGTGTATACATAACATCCTCTATACACTACAGCCGTACACAGCCAAACATCAGTAACTGTGTGGGAACAGAAACTGAGAAAAAATGATTTCACAGCTTGTCATCTGTTCCAATCAAATATAAAGTAGCGGTCACGACCTTAAAAACACACACACAAAAAGTAGCTACTGCTTTTGACTTTGTAGGACTGGTCAAAATTGCACATTAAGTGCATATAATTTTCTATACTGTACAATCATTATTTCAAAGCTGGAATAAATTTTACACCACGTTTCTCTCTTTAAAAGAGCAAACAGCCTTGTAAAGCTCCAAGTATCTGGTAGGCCAGTGTTACCTTGCTGCTGTGTGAGTTAGACTGTGGTGTTGGAGTTAGTCTCTCATGGTTGGTGAGCATAGGGGACTGTGGGTGAAACACAAGATGCAGAGAAATCAGATGAACATCTATGTGAAACATACTGCCGATGCTTTAAATAATTCATCCAATATGTTATGTTACATACTAGATAGGTTTCAGTCAAAGATAATTTTGTTCAATAGGCTTTGTGTCCAGAGGACATCATATTGTAATGCTACAAACTCCCACGCACAACACTGTTGAAACTTGTGATGGAACAGAATATACACTGCACCTTTTCTTTGCAGTTGCTGAGTATTGAGATTCAGTGTGAAAGAATCTGGAGCCACGAGGGACTCAACTGCTACACAATGTAATGTATGCATACCTGAATATACACTGCACAATGTATTTGAAGGTGGCAGACATGCATTATTTTTTGGCTGTTTTCTGAGATGCAGTACCTGAGATCTGTGCTGTCCAGACTGGACCAGGAAGACCACAGAGTCTCCAGCTCTGCGGATGGCCTCCACCGCCTGCTCATGGCTGGCGTCTCTTAGGTCCACACCACACACCTTGGCCAGAACAACACATAAAACAGCAAATGTTGAGCCAAAAGACGTTACACTTATCTTGTGCAATTACCTGTAAAATACAGGAGTCACAATCTTCTGTCAATCTTGTAAATCTACAATCATACACATCTCTCTCTCTGTATAGAGATGGCTACCTTGACAAAACCAAACGACAGCCTCCAGGGCTAAAAAATTTAAGTCAACTTATAAGTGCCATAAACTGCAGTTCCTTGAGTGGCCACTTGAGGCTGGCTCCAAAAGTGAGACCCCATAGAACCTCAAGTTAAAATGCCCACGTTTACAACAGAAACAAATGTTTACAGCCTGGTACAAAAACAACAGCTTTGGTCTCTATAGCTAATTTCTCCATTCATGACAACTGTGCGGGGATTGAATTTTTATACAACTCACCCGTTTAAATGTTATTAAGGCTTTAAGTTATGCATGATTAAGGTTGTGACTGCTTTGAGTGACAGTTGGGTGCTGTCCATTGACAAGCAGCTACCATGGTAAAAACATTGGTTAGGTGATGACAATTGCGTAACCCCAGAATCATAAGGTGTAGATGTCACCGTAGCTGTCACTTTTTCATTGTGTTTTCCGTTCCTAAAAATGTCTTGTTCAGAAAATGAACCTGCTGCCATGTATTGTTTCAAAATTTCAGAAATGCTTCAATAAAAAATACAAGTGGTAAAGTCTTGTTTAGCATTTGGCTGTACTAAAAAACCCTCAAAGGAGATGGATATTCAGTTTTTTCAGGAAGTAACAGGCTTAAAACCATTAGTTTTAATGATTTTAAGCCTGTTTTTTGGCTAGTCAGATGTAGAATCATCAGATTTAGGCTGACATTCTCCCTTGCCTTTGCTATCTGTGTATTAGGCCCACCATTTTCATTTCCCCTTTGCTGTGGGAAACAACAATAACTCCCAAGCTAACAACTTAAATGCTGAAAAAAGCAAGTTTTAAGAAATATTTGGATTGTGCAGTAAGGCATGCCTGCTTTGTTTTTTCGGAGGATTGCTAAAAAAGGATCTTGAACGAGTAAAACAACTTGTGGACACACCTCGGACTCCGTCTCGCAGGACTCTAATGCCCATTGTTGACCTGTTTCCTAACATGGCCAGTATGATATGATCTGCCACATCTTCTTACCTTGGCAGCAGCATGTGCCAGTGACATTGACTTCACAAATGTACTGATGTGATCCACTTCACACAAGCCTCTGTAATAGCATTGTAATAATGTTCTACAAGAGCCACATAGAGCAAATTGTTTGTGTTTTAACCAGTCCAGTGAGCTCTTTCAGAGCTAAAGAATAGTCATGCTTCACCTCTAGGGTACTGATTAACAACTTTTGGTTGTCCTTTTTGTCACTAAAAGTCAAAATCATAAAATCATTTAGTGACATACATCTGTTTTTGTTTTGTTTTTTTCTTTTTTTGTGGCATTTTTTTTAATGACAGTGCTTGCTTCCTCACATCTACATTTCCACTAAATAAAGCTACTCCAGACAGTATTTTCTAAGGGCACCAACGCTGCATCTTGGGCTTAGCTCCTTCCAAGATGACTATGACTTTTTTTTTAAGAAACACAAATAAAGTATTTTTCCCCCTATAGCAGAAAGATAATCTGTGATTCTAGACCTTTCTCTTGCACTGACACAGCACTGACAAGATAGGTCTGGCTGCATACAGTGTTGGGCTCATTACTCTAAAAATATACAGTCAGGTCCATAATTATTTGGACAATGATACAGCTGTCATCATTTTGGCTCTGTACACCACCACAATGGGTTTTAAATGAAACAATGAATACCTGCTTAAAGTGCAGACTCTCAGCTTTCATTTAAGGCTTTTTTCAAAAATGTAGTATGAACCGTGTAGGAATTACAACCATTTCTTCACACAGTCCCCCAACTTTAAGGGCTCATAAGTATTTGGACAAACTAACGTAATCATCAATTAAACAGTCAGTTTTAATACTTGGTTGCAAATCCTTTACAGTCAATGACTGCCTGAAGTGTTGGACACATAGGCATCATCAGATGCTGGGTTTCTTCCCTGGTGATGCTCTGCCAGCCCTTTACTGCAGCCGTCTGCACTTCCTGCTTGTGTTTTGGGTGTTTTGCCCTCAGTTTTGGCTTCAGCAAGAGAAACGCATGTTCAGTTGGATACAGGTCCGATGATATGACTTGGCCATTGCAGAACATTCCACTTCTTTGCCTTGAAAATGTCTTTGGTTGCTTTTGCAGTATGCTACAGGTCAATGTCCATCTGCACTGTGAAGCATCGTCCAATGAGTTTTGAAGCATTTGGTTGAATCTGAGCAGATAATGTAGCCCCAAACACTTCAGAATTCATCCTGATGCTCTTCTCAGCAGTCACATCATCAATAAATACAAGAGAACCAGTTCCACTGGCAGCCATACATGGCCATGACATAACAGTACCTCCACCATGCTTCACTGATGAGGTGGTGTGCTTTGGATCATGAGCAGTTCCTTCCTTTCTTCCTTCTCTTGTCTTCCCATCATTCTGGTAGTTGATCTTTGTTTTATCTGTCCATAGTATGCTGTTCCACAACTGTACAGGCTTTTTAGATGGTTTTTGACAAACTCTAATCTGGCCTTCCATTTTTAAGGCTAACCAATGGTTTGCATCTTGTGATAAACTCTCTGTATTTATTCTAGTGAAGTCTTGTCTTGCTTACAAGAGCAGCAGGATGAAAGCTGAAGTGTTTGGGGCACCATTATCTGCTCAGATTCACCCAAATGCTTCAAACCTCATTGGACGATGCTTCACAGTGCAGTTGGACATTGACCTGAAGCATATTGCAAAAGCAACCAAAGACATTTTTAAGGCAAAGAAGTGGAATGTTCTGCAATGGCCAAGTCATATCATCTGACCTGAATCCAACTGAGCATGCGTTTCTCTTGCTGAAGCCAAAACTGAGGGCAAAACACCCAAAACACAATCAGGAAGTGCAGACGGCTGCAGTAAAGGGCTGGCAGAGCATCACCAGGGAAGAAACCCAGCATCTGATGATGCCTATGTGTCCAACACTTCAGGCAGTCATTGACTGTAAAGGATTTGCAACCAAGTATTAAAACTGACTGTTTAATTGATGATTATGTTAGTTTGTCCAAATACTTATGAGCCCTTAAAGTCGGGGGACTGTGTGAAGAAATGGTTGTAATTCCTACACGGTTCATACTACATTTTTGAAAAAAGCCTTAAATGAAAGCTGAGAGTCTGCACTTTAAGCAGGTATTCATTGTTTCATTTAAAACCCATTGTGGTGGTGTACAGAGCCAAAATGACAACAACTGTATCATTGTCCAAATAATTATGGACCTGACTGTATATTCATTAACGTTACTCATTCGTCTCTACAAAGTAATTCTGTTACTTTACTTATTACTCCCTGCCAACAGTAATTCTTTACACTACTCGTTGTGTTACTTTTCCGTTACACCCCATAAAATTGGTAATTGCGTATCTCCCCAAATTCAGATGTCTGCCTCTGTGTGAATGTCAGGGTGATCGCTGTTAAATGTAGCTAATGCTAGTTAGCTTCTATTTACCTGGGAGTTATCAGTTGCCTATGATCGTTATTTTCCCGAGGCTCTGCCCGAAACACGGAGAGTCACGCATGGAGCAACATTTCATCCACAATATATCCATCCACAAGCTTCATCACTTCTTTGAAGCTGCAGCTGTCCACCACTAAAACCCAGTTTGGGTTGTTTAGCTAGTGTAGCGCTACAGCCGACCTTTGGTGGGGTGTATTTCCTGGAGCTTTACGTTGTTGAGTTGGGGGTCATAGTAGCCGAGGTGTTTCAGACCGGAGGTTTGAGGACGTGTTTTTCGCAGTGGAAAGAGTTTTAGTCCGACTACACACAGAGACAGTGTTCTTGTCATCTTTCCTCCTGACAAAACCGAAGTAATGGGAATATTTCCAGCCGCTAAGGTAAGAGTTTCAAACTAACGTTAGCTTGCTGCTCAGTGACGCAGCACGATGATTATGATTATGATGATGAGATTATGATATGACCGTTGTATTTCAAGTCAGTAGTGGTGTGATAACAAAAGTAACTTCGTAACGAGTTCTTTGGTTTGGAGATACTCTAATATTATTACTGAAATTTCATTAGTAATTAGTTACACCACTCGATACTGGAAAGTGATAAGTAATTACTGTAACGCGTTACTAGTAACACAGTGGACTAGTTTATCGCTGGCAAAATTAGCATTAGCATTACTATTATCAAAGTTAAACAGACAGCCAAAATACCAAACTTATGGTTTCAAAACAGGAGGCCACAAACCAATGGGTGAGTCATGGTGACTGTTTAATGGTGAGGTTTCTAATGGCAGATACTTTGAATTAAACTCTTAACAGATGTTCCACATTAATTTAAATATACATTATTTTACGACATACATTTTTTGCCGAGAGACACAGTAAGATACACTGTAGTATTACAGTGTGTGCTGTATTAGTTTGTGTGAAGGACTACTGTAGCCTACCTAAACACCCGTGTGTACAATTGCATTGCAATGTGCAATCCTGTATTGTATAATGACTATAAAGCTTAACCTTGGACCTGCAGTAGATAATACGTATGTTGGTGTGAATTGCATTTTATGGCTATTTAGGCAACAGGATTGTTCATTACTACAACATTATCATCAGATCATCATCTATCAATACAACAGATGCCACAAACAATACGAGCTTAGTGCATAAGAAGCCACAATACATACAGTCCTTTTTATCCTTTATCACTCAAATACAGTATGAACATAAACACACCAACACTCTTCTTTCCTGCAATTTCTGTCTACGGTGCGCACACACAGAGCCAGGCACAAACACACACACACACACACACACACACACACACACACATACCTCTAGTATCCTGTCTCCAGTCCGGAGGGTGCCATTATATGCTGCCGGGCTGTCGGGGCTGATGTGCTTGATGAAGACTCCCCTCATCATCTCTCCACTGCTCAGTCTCCGGCCCATGCCTCTGCCTCCCATTATGCTGATACCCAGGGACTGGCCTGGCGCTCGAGTAAGCCTCACACTGGAACACAAAGCAGGATACAAGGAACATCCACATATATTGTGGAGCTGAGAATCCTTCTTACAGTATGGGTTACAGTGATGATAAATGCATGTCCTCTGTATGCCTGATGAGGACCTACTTGGTTTGAAACATTACTGCACAAGAAAGAGAATTAATCCAGTGGGTGTGCTTTTTTTCTCCTCTCAGTCCCTGTCCGCTGCTTAGGGCTGCGGATCAAGTTTCAAAGATTAAGTCAAAACAATAGAATATTATACCTGCCGGGGAGAGACGCACAAAAGACGGTCTTTGCATGCAGTGTGGCTTATGTGATTTATCCGAGCGGGATGCAGTCATAAATGCGATAAATGCAGGTTGTGAAAGCAGTCGGTTTCTCCGGGCCTAAGAAATATGAGCGTGTTGAGTCTGTGCTGTGCTGCTCTACCCCTGCTGTGAACATAACCTGAGCACACTAGGATTTTACTAAGCCTTCTCTGGCAGAGAGAGGATAAAGGGCATCATGGGCAGAGTGAAAAAAAAGAATCTGAATAAAATCTAATGGTAAAAAAAAAAAATCACATTGCTACTTGCATTGCTGATTCACTAACCTTCTAGGCTGGTCCCAAGAAACTGTGGTACCAGAATGAAGCTCCTCATCTCCCTCCTCTTTACCATCCACCTTTATCTCCACCTCCAGCTGTGGTACTTTCCCATCTGCACTACTCTTGTCCTTTTTCTCCTTCACAATCTTTCCATCTTCTTTTCCTTCCTGCTTCTTCATGTAAGGTCGAGATTTTGGAATCTGCCAACTGATGGTGAAAAACATGCAAACATTAATAACAATGAACCAGTGTGTGATGTGGAATGAAAAAACTGACAATTACATACACTATTGTCTGTGTTCAAAGTAGGCAGAGGAGGATATGAAAGTTTCATGTCACAATTAAACTGACAAAATTAATTCACGATACTATCTCAATAATAATAATTCAATAATATACACAAAACCCTCAAAATAACACTAAAACATACTAAATCACTTTCCCTCACAGTTTTGGTAAAAAAAATATTTTTAATACATTACAGAAAGGACACATCTTTTTTCTTTTTTTTTTTTTAGCGCACATCCTTTTTTGTGAAAAACAAACACTCTTAAAGAGCCACACCTCTCAACTATTTAAAATGTTGCCATATCTTTCAATATGGAATATGCCAATGCTTGATTAAGATCTTTTCTAATTTTTGTTTGTTGTTGCTGTTTTTATACCTATCCAGCATTTTTTTTTTTGCAGTCTCTTTTATTTTTACCCATCAGTCTCTCTGGGTGCTGCTGGAAATGATACTTATGTTAATCCTGTTCACCACCATCAACTAATTGTGAGTGTTTAACTCAGAAAAATATGAATTAAATTAACTGATTTATCAATAAGTCAAATTATAGAAAAGGAACTGGCAATATCTTGTTAATTGATGAAGTGTTTTACGGTCTAGTGTGTAGAATTTAGTTGCACCTAGTGGTGAAGTTGCAAACTGAAACTTCTCTCGTGTGCCAAGTGTGTTAGTGTGTCCTCATACAATGGTTTGTATGATAGCCTTTAAATAAGCACCCCACAAGTGATGCTACATACTGAACATAAAGTTACTATGGTTAGGTTTAGGAATAGAAACATGGTGATGGCATACCTTAAAATGACTCAAAGTTCACATGGTTCCAAACAAACACTATCCTATGTTTGGCGACCCAGCCTACTCCTGTCAACACATTGGTCACGTGATAGCAGCCTTACCACATAATGAGTTACACATATATAACTGGCTCAAGATTGCTTAGGATAATGAATTTTGGTGCTTTGCTTTTCGTAGGAAAGCGTACAAACAGTGCACGAGGGCAGCCTGAGTGTGTAGGGGAGCTATGGTGGCCGATGCGAAAATGCGAAAGGCCCTATCCAGAGTCATTGTTTGATTTGTCTGTGATTTCTACTGTAATACAACATGGTGGACTCCATGGAAGATGACCTGCTCTGTATGCAGACATACAGCTCTTTCTCAAGGAATGAAACCACAGCGATTTTTAGTTTCAGGTGAATATACTCTAATGAAAAATAGCTATAATAATTATATACCATTTCTGCTAATAGATGCCACTAAATCTGACACACAGGACCTTTAAGTCAATTATTAAGCAAAAAGGCCAAACATTCTTTCATCCCAGCCTCTCAGATATGGGGATTTGCTGCTTTTCTCTGTCTTTTTGCCATTGTAAATCAAACATCTACTGGGAGGAAAAAAAACGATATTTGAAGACATGACTCTGAGCTCTGACAAGCAGGTTTCACAATTAAAATTTTAAAAAAATCTATCACTGAATCCTTAGTGAAAATAATCGTTAGTTGCAGCTCTCACTCTGTGAACACAATGGCATTTGACTACATCCTACTAGCAGAATTGCAGTGGATAACAAGGTATTTTGGCGTACTTTGTTATTTTTTAAGTCCTGACACACTGTGACACATGGCCAATAGCGATTTATATTGGCAAGCCTTGAAAAGATATACTACTTTAGGCACAAATAGCCCTGAAAATACACATTTTCTGCCAGCGAGGTCACAGTAAGGTAGTGTCTATATGTGTGTGTGTGTGTGTGTGTGTGTGTGTGTGGTAACACATACAGCATATATATATTTAATATATATACAATATCTCTGTATATATACACTGTCTATATGTGTGTGTGAGTGAGTGTGAAAGAAAGAGGTAGAGAAGGAGAGAATTTTTCATGAATATATTTAACGGTGGAGGGCTGTAATAAGCCCATGGAGGTGAGTGATAGTGGTGCTATCTGCGCAGCAGGAGCCTGTAGCCAGTTAAGTTACAGAAGAGGGCAGAACAAATGGTTCCACCAGGGCTGAAAGAGAACGGCCAGGAGAGGGGGATAGGACCAAGGCATGCAGGGAGAAGAGGGAAAATGAGGGAATCAGAAAAAGACCAGAGAGAGAGATGAGAGGCAGATGTAGACACAAAGAGTCAAGAGAGGAGTCTAGCAGAGAGAGAGACAAAGACAACGCATTGGAAGATAAGAGTGAAGAAAAGGCTGCGCAGAGAAATGGGAGTGAGGGAGGGAGGAGAAAGGCAGAGGCAAGAAGATGGAGCGAAAGCAGGGATAGACAGAAGCGAAACAATTCATTTTCGCTGACAGTCAGCACTGAGATCCATAAGCGAACGGCTAAATATAACTCAGAGATTCAACATTCAGAGAAGCTTTTGCCTTTACCACGGAGAAGAATGGAGAAGAGAAAATACGGACTGGAAGAGACTCAGACTGAGCTGGTTGCACACTGAAACACATTGTTTCCTCCATGGATACGGTTAATTAAATTGTCAGATAATAACTCAGATCATTAGTATGACTTAAGCTGCTGGGTAACTGAAGTGTGTGATGTGTTACAGTAATAAAACCCTGGCTGCTATAAAAAAATCTGAAGCCTAAGGTTGACACATATCAGGCAGAATGTATGGAAGGTATTTCATAGTCTGAATTTTCTGCAGCGGACACATCAACATGTAATAAAATTGGAGCCTTGAAGTCTAATAAACCCTGAGACAGGTTTATCTTGGGCCCCAGGGCCTGAGTGGGGATTAGGTGACCGTAAATAATAGTCCGAGACCTCTGGATCTTACATTACCTTGAGTCTGGGGCCGGGGTGATGGTAGGGACTACGGCTGGGCCTTTGAATGGAGCTTTGAAAGAAGCAGAGGCTCTGACAACAGATGGATCTGGAGCCGCGGTTTTAGATTTGACTGAAGCAGACGGTCTGAGGGTGGATGAAGCCAGAGTTGAAGCTGCAGCTCTGACTGGACCGGGGGATCTGGCCGGGGCCGAGGCAGGTTCTGGAGAAGGGGTTGGTGGAGTGGGTGAGGGAGAGGTGCTGTTTGCTATGATGGATGCCAGAGGAGGTAAACACAGACGGGCACGGTACTCATCCACCTGATGGGCTGGGACATAGGTTATGCTGAGGGGAGGGGCATGTGGGAAAAGAAGTGTGGGGGTGGGGTGAAAACATTTTAGATATTAATATGACATAAGACTTCACATCTGCACATTTATTTAACTTTCACAACCAAAGAATGACTAATAGAATGACAAGGCACAAATGACATGGCACTTAGCGAATGGATCCTATACATGATAAATGGATTATTACCTCTGCCAGTGAAGGAGGGGATAATGAAATATTGTAGTTTAGAGGAACAGTCTGACATTTTGGAAGATTCTTTTATTCACTTTCTTATCCAAAGTTAGATGAGAAGATTGAAACCACTCTCATGTCTGTACTGTGCATATCAAGCTGCAACCAGCAGTCAGCTAGCTTAGCTTAGCTTGGCACAAATACTGGACACAGAGGGAAAAGGGTAGCCTGGCTCTGTGCAAAGGTACAAAAATCTGCCTACCAGCACCATAAAAGCCCAGTCCAGTCGCCAGATAAAAATGTACATCTCTGCAAACCTTGGACACATATCATTTGTATGTTTAATATGTGATGACTTTGTCTTTGTGACGAGAGGGGGATGGTGGATGGTGTGTCACCTAGGCTAGATGCCTGCAGACCAATACAGACCAACAAAACTGTTTTTTAGTGAGTCATGATTGCAATTCCAGCAGCTTTTTAGCAACCAAACACAGGTGTTTTTTTAACAACCTGTTGCTGTGTTTCCACCAAGGATGGTGCCACGGAAAAATGTTGTTTTTTACTGCCAATATTTATTCTGGCAAATGGGTTTAAAGCTCAGTAACTAAAATCAAAAGTTTGATATCGAAACGTTGGGGTTTTATGGGTGGGTTATGTGTTGGACTATTTCATGGCCAGGTTCAGTGACTTCCTCGAGTCTTGTTGTCACCATGAAGTTGAGTGAGACTTCTCAACTAGCTCTCAGCAAGGAAGCAAATAACCATATTTCCAAAAATGTCAGTGTTTTAATCCCTCTCTGTCTATTAGTTAATTTCTGTATATTAACAGGTTTAGGAAACTTCAGGAAGTCAGACCTATCAATCAGGCAATTTGAAAGCGTAGATGCTAGATAGTAACCTCTGAACCAGGAGATCATTTCCCCTTTTACTGCCCTACTGTGGTGTGATTGGCTAGTACTCGACACATCGATGAGTACTAGCCAATCACAGCCCAGTAAGGTGGGAATAGTCATTTGGTGGGCACATATTAACATCTACCATTTGACAATGTTTAACCAATTTTTAGCAGGGACCCATGAATATTAGAAGGAAAAGCACCTGAAGCAATGTTTAAAGAAGAAACAGATATGTTTTATGCATTGACTTATGATTATGAAGTTAAGTTGATGGCACAATGTAATGGCTAGAGAGTAATGACATCATCAGCCTTTAGATTGGTGCTTCGCTTTCACTATGCAGTTCTCTCTGCCACTGGGTCCCATATTCCGGGAAAATGAAAGCTCCATTTAAGGCACAAAGAAAGTGCGTCAACCACTACGCAACCAAAACAGGAGGAGGATAGCGCTTGTGTTTACTGTGCTTCTGCAGCTATCAGCTGCCAAAGAGCATCAGCGTAGGCTCTTTGCAGTTATTATCCCCAGTAACGGAAATGACGGACGGTGGAATGAATGAAATGAATGAACAACGTAACAAAGTAACTATGGAGACTCTACCCGGCAAAAGAAAAAGAGCCTCGTTGCTAGGCTTAGAGAGAAAACGGAAAGGGATTTCTCTTTGCAACAGCTGCGTCAACAATAACACCATTTGGAAATGCCTGAGGGGTTCAAGTTGAAAAGTTGTCAGTTTAAACTTTAATAATGCTAAATTATTCTATTTATCATTAGTAATCAATAAGAAATGAATAATTAATTAGTTTGTTTGTTGTTTTATCTCAGACCTGAAAAGCAATTGATAAACAGCCACTAACTTTAAGGCTGCTGTTTTCCATGTCAAATGTTTTTAAGTGCTCTAAAATTCTAGATGTGCCCCACTCCATCAGCACTGCTTCTGCTGCAGCTGGTACGAGATGAGAAGAAAAGCAGAAACTAAATGTATATTTTAATGTCACTTCAAGATGCATTTCTGATGGGAGACAGTTCTAAGAGTCTCTGAAACACAACATTTAGAATAAAAAATGCGTTTTGCATAAGCCCGGATCTATCTAAGCTATGCCGTAAACGACGTCATTTAAATAAAGTGTCAGGGACATCATTAAGGCCCCCCCTCCTCCCACTTCCATTCTTGTGTGACTCTACCAGTAGACATGCTGTTTGAATCCGCTGAAAGAGCCAATTTCTCTGTTCCACTCATGGTGGCAGATTGAATATTGAGGTCTTCCACGCTAAGCTGTTGTGACTGAGCCATGTGGACAGCCTGTCGTGTCTCAACAGAGGCAGTTTGATAGTGACAAGCCCTCACCCTTCTATGTCTGTCTTATTCTAGGGCTGCCAAAGCAACTCATCTGCCTCCACTCTCTGTTAGTTTGTCTGCAGTGCTGTCAGGAGGAGGCAGTGTGAGCATGTGTGTGCGGGCGAGGGTGTGCGTGTGTTCAAGTGATGGAGGAAGACAAAATGCATGTGTGTGTTCATCTGTGTGTGTATTGTGGTGTGCATCTATGAGAGGCTCTTTAAAACGCTCTTTTATTCAGAAGCGCACTGTTCAAGGTGAGATGAGCGATGAATTATTCAGAGATATTTCCCATAGCAGGAAAAAGGTGTTTTTGGAGGTTAGACCATTGAAAGGCTGTGTATGTGTGTGTGTGTTAGTGTGTGTATGTGTATGTGTGTATGTGTGTGTGCTGGTAAAAGCAAAAGAGAGAGAGAGAGAGAGAGAGAGAGAGAGAGAGAGAGAGAGAGGGTGTTTTGCAGGGCAGCACGGTGGTGGAGGTGGGGCACATTTCCAATCAGCCAAACAAGCATTGTCAATGTGAAGCCATAACTGCTGATGTTAGAACAAGTAATAATTTACCCAATTTCCCCTCAGGCAATCTTTAAAATTTCATCATCTAATCTAATTTAACATGACTGCAGCGCCTCAGTCAACTATGACTGCAGTGTCAAAAACAAGGTAGTAATGGAGATCCAAAGTGAGACGAGATCGTTTATACGTGATGATGCAGTGAAAGTCATGTTTGTGACTGCGGAGAGCACATATTTATATTTATGATGCACATATACTCACTCATTCGAGTCACACAGACTGTCAAGATCTGCATGGGTGGATCTAGAAAATGTGAGCAGTATTCAATTACTTTTTTTTTTTTTTTTTTTTTTTTTTTGCAGTGGTTGATTGTTCTCTGCATTCCCAAAGGACGTCTCTACATTCTCTCTAAAGTAAAAACTCTGGCTTTCTCGTTTTTCAAGCAAAGACATGTTTAAACTATGACATGAGGGGAAGTGCATATGACTGTAATATAAATAACTGTGCTATATAACCGACTGGAATCTGTTTTAAATGTGCCACGTGTCCTACTTTAATGCTGGGCCCAATGCAGAGCCTTGTTTTGTGCCATAGGTTGTGGCCGCCAAGCACACCAGGTCACAAAGTTCTTACAACTAAAGCATTATGTGTTTAGAAACAGCCACACACTATCAGCTATATCATTACCTACACAATTGATGTGTGTGTGGTATTAACCGTGATGACAGTTGCATTTGATTGAGATGCAGTTCTGTACACTTTCAAACACTTTCCTAAGATAACAAAGGGAACCCTGAATTCATTTTAAGGAAGATAATATTCGTCAAACATTCATCTATTTTTTAAAGTATGTCACAAATTTCAATATGTGAGTTGCTCTATCAATATTAGTCACACTGACCCTTAAGCACAGTTTGAGTTTTATACACTGTTGAAAAGAGGAGATTCTTAGCTTTATAGTGATATCAGTATTGTTTTTGTGCTTTAAATATAAAGACTTCACATAATGACTGTCACCAAGCCGAGATTTAGAGCAACAGGCCTTTAAAGTTTGTAGTACAGTGGCCCCAAAGTAACACTCCAGGGGCTGCCTTGGGGTGAAAAACACACAGAAGAGCTCGGGGACATTTTTATTTTGTAGCCAGCAAGATAACCAAAACAAGCATACCTAACAGCATGGTGTGGGAAGATCAGAAAATTTTGTTTATATCGGAAGAACTGAAGCCCTTTTGACAAACAAAGTTAGCATGCAGTTGGCAAAAGACTTCACATATAAGTGTTCACAATGTGGAGTAAATTTATGAAAGTCATTCTGATTATTTTGATCAGTGGACCCTGACGGACTAAAGAAATATAAAGACTTACCCACGGAATTGACACATTGTCACATTTATGACATCTTTAAAGTAGAGGTCGACTGATTAATCGGTTTGGCTGATTAATCAGCGCTGATAGGACGTTTTCCAAACTATCATTATCTGTGAAAAAAGGCTCAGATAGTTGCCGATGGTTGCAAAGTTTTTTTCCCTGTAGCGCAACAAGCTGTTTCCTCTCCTCCCCTGCTCTCTCTCGCTCTCTTCGCTGAGGGGAGGGGCTGCTAGAGAGAGCAAGAGAGCGAGAGTGAGACGGCAGGCCCAGTGTGTGTAGATGCCGCAGGGGAAAGGAGGCGTGAGGAGTCCACTTGGAGATAAGCGGTAAACATGATTCTAAGTGCAATAAAACCTTCACGAGTTAAAAAGCCAAAAAACAGTAGTGAATAGTCAGAAATATTTACAAAAAGTTTGTAAGTCCCGTGCAGAGCAACTAAGTGCTTCTTCTAGGTGCCAGCTGGTGCAGGATAAATCACAGTCAAAAATTCAAAAAAAACTTCCAGCGCACACTAGAGCATAGGATTGACAGAAGGTTTATAATCAAAAGTTAAACGAACAGCGCGTTTCACATGTTGCTTCATCAGATTCGCTGCAAATCTGATGAAGCAACATGTGAAACGCGTCAATCCTATGCTCTAGTGTACGCTGGAAGTTTTTTGAATTTTTGAATTTGAGTCAGAAATATTTATTTTGACAGTTAAGATTTGTTTCCAGGTATTATTGACTTTATATCAGTGTTTCCCCTATATGCAACTAGCACCGCCGCTGCTGAAACATGACTGCTGCTGCTGTTTTTTGTTTTTTCTTCATCTTAGCTCTTTCGAAGCTACCGTTATATTATTTTGCCCAATGGACGCTTCATATAATAACATAACAATATACTATTTATCGTGTTATGTCATTGTGTCATTTCTGTCTCTACATGGTCATGCGTGAACAATTCTCCTCTGCTCTCTGTATCGCGCACGGTGGAGTTCCGCCACACACACAGGTGAGCACGCTAGAGCGGCTCGGGCCGCATTTTCCTGAACAAACTGAACCCGAGCCCGGCGCAGTTTGTTACCTGACATAGTTATTGTTATGGACAGTGTGTAAATAACCATCAACAGACTGCTGTTACGCACAGACAAACACACTGCTCACACAGCAGTGCAGCACGGCACTGTACCACACTCAGTTGGAGCAGAGCCTGTGTTGCGTTCAGGCGTTGTCACGTAAATAACAACTTCCAGCACGTCAATGGGTCATGGGGGGGGGTATCGGCCGATTAATCGGCTATCGTTTTTTTCCTACTCCAAACTATCGATATTATATCGGCCTTTAAAAATCCACTATCGGTCGACCTCTACTTTAAAGTTAGGACGTCACCACTGTGTTTTGTCTCCAGTAAATCTGGCATGTGCTCATGGTGTCCATAAATCAAGCAATTGAATTGTGGAGAATCTAACCAAGCTAACAATGTGTGGTATTTCCCCACTGACAAAAGTTTATGTTGTTAACGCTACATTTTGATGTTATGCTAGCTCGTTGTCATGCAGTAATATGCTTCAAAATTGTATTTAATGTTTTTAGACTTTGTTCATTTTAAATCAAACAAAAATGACCAAAAATCAAGATGCTGACATAATCCATAATTATCTACAAATGAGCCATAGCGACATCCAACTGATTTTGATCAGAGCATGCCACATATATATGAGTATCTTGTGATCCCATGCATTTTGTGCCAGGGGGTTGCATCACACCTCTGGCACAGCAAGAGATGCATTGGATTAGGAGGATCCTCCTCATTGGGTGTGTAGGGGATTGGGAATCATCATCAAATCTGTTTTCTAATTGCTTTTGAAAGCAGTTCACTTCCTGTGATGGCTTATTGATGGTTTCCTAATATTGAGCCAAGACTGGAATCTCCAAGGAGAGAACTGATTTTTGCAAGTCACAGATAAATATGGAAACCTAAATATGAAAAAGTGGCAATACTTGGCATAGGACAGATCATGACCCTTGTTAAACTGAACTCACTTTTCCAGAGATACTGAAGCCACAGTCATGAAGTTTTCTGTGTGAAATGATGTAGCTTTTGAGTAATAAAATGTGGCCTATAAGATAAGATACACCTTTATTGATCCCACAGTTGAGAAATTCCAGTGTTACAGCAGTCAAGGGGAAAGAGTCAAATTAAAGATTTCAAAATTTAAAAACGTAAAACAAACTAGGCATGCAAAAAGTGTACAAAAAATACAAGAAACAGCAATAAATAATAACTATATCATAAAACTCAATTTTGTGAGTTTCCTGTTTGTCAAGCAGATGTTTTCACTCATTGTGCCCGATAAGACCTCTTGTAAACGATGGGGACATATTGGCTACAAACAGTGCTTGATCTCATGGTGCCTTCCCTTTGAACTGGGAAGTCAGAATTTCCGAGTTTCCAGTCAGACATTTCAACTGGAACTCCACCCTGAAGTGTAGGAAAGTAGGAAGAATGTCACCAACCCCAACCTCAAAATCCAAGATGGCTGCTCCCACATCAACAGTAGTAAAAGTTATAGTAATATATTAGCACTTCTGTCTTACCTGTGTCTCATTAAATCAGTTGTTTACAAGTACTGTCCAGCTTCTAATTGTGGACATGTTACTACATGTTTTTATGCACAAATCGCAGTGCAATGCATTGATATCAACTGGTATTGCTAACAATGGCTAGAACTGGTATTGTCTTTGTTTTCCAACTTGCACATGACCACGTTCAACTCAGGTGTGATGTAATTTCCAGCTTTGACTTCCAAGGTAAATGAAATGCAGCATAAATTTCTCTTACCCTCCCACTGGTTGAGTTACCCTTACCAAAGAGAAACAAACAAACAAACAAAGTAGGCAACAAATTGCCTTAAAAAAGTGAGTACCTGTTAGTCTTAAAGGAGCTATATGTAAGAAATCTAAAGCAAATAGTCGTGAAATCATCCTAATATGTCACAGAGACTAAGGAATAATGTTCATATAACATACTGATCTCACCGACAACAATAGTACAGCCAGAATATTCGCATTTAAAAAAATTTTTTGTGGTCTGCAAATCATGTTTATGTTTTGAACTTGTGTTTTGGCCTGTTGCGCCACCCACTGCCGTCTACCAGTTACACAGTCAGTAGAGTCTCAGGATCAGTTACAGTTACGACTGAGCTACAGTGGCTGACGGTGCGACTAAACCCAAAAGACCTCGTTATGATTCCCAAAAACGCCAAGACAAAACTCGAGGCAAAGCGAGGGTCTATATAGGAGATGCTTTTGAACAGTGGAGACCGTTGAAAGCGGAGAAGAATCTGAAATCGGATGTCGAAGTGACTACTCTTCTCCTCGACAGGTAAGCTTTGACCAAAGTTGGCTAACTAGCGTCATAGCTAGACGGGGATGGACATTTCGAATACTTTCAACTGTTATTCATTTTCGATCATACATTGTAGCCCATGTGCAGGTGGGTCATCGACCTGACTGATTTTTTTGAGAAACAAACGTTAGCAGCATGGCAAGCAGCATTAGCAGTGTCCCAGTACATAGCATTAGCAGCCGGCTCCTCCTCTGCTGTATCCTGGTAGCAGCGTTAGCAGCAGAGAAGCTGGACTTGCTCGAACGGTCCGCTGGAAAACCAAAGACACGACTTGCGGCAGTATTTTTGAATTTCAGTGCTGTAACCATTTTGGCCACATTCTTACATACAGCGCCTTTAAGTGCTGTTTACTTCAAATCTAATTGTTAAATTTCACAAAATTCAGTGGTAGTTAATTAGTTTGAACAAAATTTTGTGAAGTTGTTGCAATTTAAAAATTACAAGTGAAACAAACTTGTACTTTGTAAGTGCTAGCAACTTAATAACAAAACCAAGTTAGTCTGACATAACTTGATCATGACAAAAAAAGGATTTTGCACATGGTGCAGTTAGGATATCTGCAAGTTCTGTCTTGTAGACGTGTCTAAGAATATTTTCATTTAGCTTCAATATGCTATCTGTGATAAGACTGTGCCATGGAGCCCTCCCGGAATCTTAAGTAAAGTCAGAAAGAAAAATTTAGTTTGAATATTTCTAGATTTTTTTAAGGCTTAAAAGTGGATTTGTTTCTATTGTAGACTTTAATTTGTTTTTCACAAACACTGGCCTTGTCTTTCAATGCTCAGAATGAAAAACCTGTGAACTCATCATTCTTTGTTGTGCTTACTTTATTTATCCAAGGCAACCAGTTTCCTAAATTCTATTGGGTAAACACAACTGTTCAGTGAAGCTGTCAACACTCACAAACAACGAGTTATTTTTAAGATGCAGCAACTTCACAAAATTAAGCAAATGTAACCTGATTTTAAGTAAACTTGACAATTAGATACAAAGTAAAAATGACTAATAGTAATATTCAATCATCATCAATTCAACGAAATCAATTAATTTATTTCCTAGATTCTGTTTTTAAGTAAGATCAGCTTGTCAGATTTTACAGTGTATTAATGCTTGGATAGTCACAATTTTATCATTTGGCTTTGCATTCTCACATAAATCCAACATAGTTGTGCCCAACATCAGCCTCAGCAGATGTCTAATTAGTCAGAATAAGTGAAAACACCTCTCTGGGTTGGCAGGGTCTTTAAGCCATAGGCCCTTTCTGACAGAAGGTATTTTGACATGTCACGGCGAGAAAATCACAGGTGTAAACAATGAAATTAATGATGGCTGACTTCTATTTCGCTTCTTCGTTTTCTGCGTCCTGATCACTATCACACTGTCATGACTTACTGGGACACTAGAATGAAGCCATCGTTAATGTTATTGCCAACACCTGTGCTTTTACTGTACATGGTAAGTAAAATGTCTGATGTGGAAAAGGCCTCCTAACATCACTGCATACAGTAAAAACTGCCTAACTGCTAGGCTGCTACTTTTAAAATGAGCAAAACTTTATTCTTAGCTGTGACTGTACTTGATGATGTCATGTGGTGCGTCAGAGTCATAGGTCCTTCTCTACAACAATTAAGAAATGTGAAGCAGCACTTGAGCCACTGTAAAGAGGGTGACGCACATTCAGCCACCCAGTGTTTCTGGACCCAGACTGAGGATTATTGAGAACAGGTGATTCAGAGGGAGCTTGATGATGTAGAGTGAGAAAACTTTGAAATGTTCAGAAGAGCTTTCATGGAGCTGTGCGAGCTACACCATGATTTAACAGCAAGCCTCACCTGTTCTTATTTTCAGCCCAGAACAAAACCCTCTACATAATGTGATGCTGTTGGACAGTGACTGGCTCCTCACCTCATCTCTGGCCCTATGACAGAGTGTCTGCGGAGCGTGGCCCTGGCCCTGGCGTTGGTCAGATTGGAGGTAGGTTCTCCGTTGATGGCCAAGATGGCGTCCCCCACCCCCAGCCTGCCATCCTGGCTAACAGAGCCCCCCTGGACCACACTGCGCACCAGCATGCCTGAGCCGTCCTTGATAGCACTCACCGACATCCCTGCCAACATGCACATACACACACACATACACAAACACACACATGAGCACAGGTGAGTGGAGGGTTGGCTTAGGCTACTTTGAATGCATGCCAAACAGACAGACAGTCGCCCAAACAAACACCTGACACCTGACACCTGGCATAATCAGCATAATCAAGACAGACACTAGGCAGATTAGCACACAAACATGGCTACACATGCTTGACATTTACACAGCGTCATCCTTCACAGTCACACTCGCATAAGGTGCACAAACACAATCACACCCATGTAGGGCACAGGGCACAGGTGACTCAAGGGGTAACACATGCCAGTCGCACAAACACCTGACTCTGGCATTATCAAACCGGACACTAGGCGGATTACACAAACACTTCATTAATGCAAACAGGCAGAAGCAGGTAAATCAGGTGTCACATACACACAAACCGCGCACACCTCATACACGCACATACACACACTGCAGACAGGGAAGGCCACGACAAATTAGGAAGTCTAGTCTATGGCGACTGCATACTACATTGCCATCTAATGGAGGACTACGCACATCCACAACACTATGGTCGTACATAATTTGAAGTTGGTCAAAGAAATGACTTTGTGCTTATTTTTTGATCAAATAAATAGTTTATTGTTTTTTGGTGTTACATTCAAATTACAATACAATCATAGTGCATGGAATACAGTCGACTGCAGACACAGCTACTGATGCTGACAAGACAGACAGAAGTCACACATTTCAAAGACATGAGAGGAAGTTTGAAGTAGTAATGATGAATGTCTCAGGTGTTACTATAACACGGCATTAACATACATTTTTCTAAACAAATTGAGGCAAAAACTTTTGATAATGATTCACGGTAAATTCAAACATTAAAATTTCCATATGAAAACCTATTAGTTTTTACCTCAACAAAAAATCTTTATGGTACCACAAACTTACAGTAAGCGCAAAGACTTTATATTCATGTTGTGAGATGAGCAAGGCAAGAAAAAAAACAGACCTTATTTTAGTCCATTAAAGTGGAGAGGAAACGCTGAACAATATGACTGTGCTCGCTTGATTTATACCTTAGGCCTGTTAGGGCACTGAAACCAAACTGGATATTCGCCTGGATTGCTAGAAAACTGGATATTTCACTTTTTCACAGCAGGGCACAGTCATCTTTCAACAAGCTAGTTCAGGGTGTTCTCATAAACTGTTCATACATTTTCCTACAAAAAAGAAATGCACCGAAATTGGTACATAGTCCATGTTATCATGAGCTAATTCATGTACAACCCATGTATTTTGGAAGGCTGGGATTATGTTACTAAAGCCCTTAAGGGAGTAAAGAAGAAAGTGGTCCTGTAAGGATTTAGATTTGGGTGGTGGATGGTTTACAAACCACGGGACATTCCCCCAGGACTTTCCCAGGAGACTGGTGCTTGAAACTATGTGAAATTTGAGTGAAAAACTAAACTTCACCATGTTTTTTTTTTTTTTTACCTAAATCTAACCACAGCAACTTCACTTGCCTAAACCTAAAGACACCCAACCATGTTTCTATTCCTAACCTAACCACAGTTACTTTATTGCCTAAACATGATCACCGTAACCTTATCTTAAGTGTAACTTTGTGTTAAGCAACTATTCGTTAAGTGCATAATGTCACAACTTCATAGGATATCATACAAACCATTGTGTGTGTATTTTCGTAGGATATCATAAGAATTATTGTATGAGGATATGTTGGCTAGATGGTGACGTCATAAGAATGGTTCCTCTCTGTTGTTTGCTTGTTAGCCAGTAGGAGTTATTGAAGTAGGCTTGGTAAACTTGGCACTGTAGAACTGTTTTTTTCTCTGACATTAGGGTTTTTACAGCTAGTGTATGAGATATTTTGAGTAGAGTAGTGCACAGGAACTCACTTTTCAGCAGTAGTTCCTGACAGAAGGAACACACTTTGCATTGCCAGTGCATGTGAACCTTAATTGCTGTTTTGATGGAAGAACTGGAGTTTGGTATTACCAGTGGTGTAGTGGTAATTGATGAGATGGGTGTACTACTAGGTAGATAGGTAGGTTACCGATAAGGAAGTGGGCATACTCTCCTATGTATTACAATGGCTTTTTAGCTGATAGGTGGGTATACTGTAACTGGATAGAAAAAGAAGTGGGTATACCCCATATACCTGAGTATACCCTCCACTACACCACTGGTTATTACTTATATGGATATGCAAAAGCAGGAAAGGAGTAAACAGAGTACAACCTTCGGTTTATGATCTAAGGCAAGGCTAACATCATCAACCAGCCTAACGTTATAAGCCCAGTGTGTCACTGAGATAGGAGCTCTTCGTTTCAAAATTAAACTTACCACCAAGATATTGATGGATTCTCCATGCCAATGATAAACATCTACTATGTACATCAAGAAGAGGATGGGCACATGAACGCAAAACTAAACTTGCACCACCAGCTATCTGACCAACACACACAGGGAAACTGGGGAAGTTCAACTAGCGCTTAACCCCAACAGCCCCCCTGATGGTGAGCCATACAGTTGGTGTATTTTGCCGATGCTTCGTGATATGGAAATGCTCACATTTGACTTGGTTTCTATGTGGGAATGATGTTGATCATGGTATCAGGTGGCTAATGGACATGACCGCTGGGTTAGGCTAATTATGGTTGCTGCGACATGATAACATTAACATTATAAGTGTCTCACATTGCTGTTGTGGTTGGACAACTTGATGGAGACCATGGTAGAGTACATATTTCGTGTACATTAGTTTTTGTGTGGTTTGTCAGTTGAAGCAACCTTCCACTGAATGTAAGGTTAATCATGCACCACCCGATGCACTGCCTTTCAAGTTTAGGCATCCTGTCACTTTCTCTGCTGTCATCCAAGTCCATGTGAACAGGTCTTAGCACTATATTTGGTCTTATTGGCTCAAAAAAGCATTGGCAATTGGTTTCTGACTCTTGTTTGTAGTTCTTTGTTTCTCATCAAAACTCTCAAGCTCCATTGTATCGACACTTAACTGGTCTGAGGTAGAGATTTGTACTCAGCGCTCCCAGTAAACAACCATTCTTGTGATGTCACCAACTAGCTTGTTGAGAGATGGCTGTGCCCTACTGGTGAAAAAGTGAAATCTGTTTTTCTAGGAAATCTAGGTGAATATCAAGTTTGATTTTAGTACCATATCTTGCCTAAGGTAAAAATCAAACAAACCAAAGTCGTATTGTTCAGTGTTTCATCTCCACTTTAAACCTTCTCCTTTAACAACCTGCTCTAAAATCCATACAGTCCTTCTAGTACAAACCAACAATATGCTGTACATGCTGTACATGGTAGCATATCTCATCTCCATAATTGGGCATAAAGTCACAGTTGCACAATGGATAGAATTGTACATGGCACCTAATAATAGGAAAACTGTAAAGTAGTGCAAATAGAACTGTACCATAAGATTGTTTGAAAAATATCTCCAGTATTCAGGCCTTACAGATACAGTCCATAACTCAGCCCAATTCAAATACATTTGAATCACCAAAAAAACACAGAGAATCTGTAAACCAGCCAGAAACCATGCTACATTAAATATCTCAGCAAGAAGACCTACAATATTTTAAACAGATGAAAACCAAAGAATGCAGTGACACACAGACTGTAGGTCATGACCTTGATTTTCTCTACCTATGAACATTTACATAATTTTAAAGTTTCACACACACACACACACGCACACACAGAAGTAGTGTGGCGCCTTATTAGAGCATGTTTCCAGAATACAAATGAGTTTGTTTCATTATGCTTTGCACAATGCCCTTAGATGAAAGTGCAGGAGCACCTTACACCCAGTTGTTTCCTCCCTGTCATGTTTGAATAACCAATGTACTCTCAACACTGGAGTATAAAAACATATAGATCAGCATTCAAGCTAATATAAAGTCATATTACTTCTTATTATTATTTCACATTACTTTGACCTTCCATGCACCCTCATACTAGCCTCTCGGACAAACACCCACACATAAACACACACGCAAACACACACAGTAATCATCTCCTCTCTCAGGTGTGAGGAGAGCATCACTTCACCACTCCTCTTCAGGGCAGTCGTCATCACCACCACCTATTAGCGCCATTATCGCCATGCCAGTGACGTACACACACCAAGACACCATTACCATGAGAAAGACGGAGAACATACCAAGGCTACGGTTGCCCCGGACAACAGTGATTGTCCTCTCAAAGCTGGTGCGGGGAGGCAGAGGCGGCGCTTGCTGCCTATCGTCGCCTTCCATGATGCTGAAACGATGCCGCAGCCGATTTTCCTATGACAGAGGCAACAGAGGGCATGAGTGAGTGAGAGCATGAAGGTGGGCTGACAAATATGCAGCTATTGGATAGATTGTCATGACATTTTCTGCAGACAGTCATGGCCCCCAAAGGATAAAGTCTTATGGCTGCTTTGATCCTCTGACTTTTACTTCTAGTTCTACAGCCTCAGCTGTACTTTCCTGCTAATTAGCATGTTAGCATGTTAACATGCTAGACTAAGATAGCAAACATGGTTAACATACCTGTTAAACATAAGCATGTTAGCATTGTAAGCCTGTTAGCATGCATTGCAAAGCACTGCTTAGCCCATCCCCTCTGTGTTCTCAACTAGGGGTAGGAGGTCTCGTTTCTTGCTGGGTTAGAGGGATAGGGCCAAGTCTTAGGGCTTCATGGCCCTCCGAATGGAGGTTTGTCAGGGGCACACTTCAAATGAAGTGTTATGAGAAATTCTTGGCAATTTTTGGCAAGATAGCTGCATCTAAAGATGTATTTTCTTCATTAAAAAAGATTTATAAATTACAATAACCATCACATTATCTTAGTTTAATGTTGTTTCAGTGTGTTATGGCCCTTGTTTTATAAGCAGCAGCTTTGGCTAACTCGCTAACTAGCCAGAGTTACATTGTTATTGCTGAATTCTTTATGGAAGTCTTGCATTTGGACATATTTCCATGTCCCGTTCCCTGTCTTTCATGGCATAAGAGGCCCAAAACTGTATTAAAGTAATGAAGCAGTGTTCTTTTTTAATGAATTGCTTATTTGATTGACTGATAGCATGAAACTAAAACTGTGAGCAAATTGCAAGAATCCGTGCTTTTCTATCTCCATCAGATAAATATCATTGTGATAATACCATTATTGCCATGGAAGCGTCTGCTAATGTAAACGCCATCCACAACTACAGATGACTTATCAGGGTCTTGAAGGGTTGTCCCATAGAGAAAGATTTAATAGATTTCATAGAGAAAGATTTAAACCACTACCCCTATGTTCCAAATGGCCAAGGGGCACTCAAAAATGAGGGGTAAGGGTATAAAAAAGACATGGGATTTGGCCTTACTCTTGATTTATTAAGTTATTTTACTCTGAACCACAAATATCAACCTCATGGTGGTGCAAGAGTCAGTTCATCAATTATTTGTTGAGGTATTTATTGACATATTTCAACAAAGTGGGCCCTAAGTGGGTGGACCTACTGACCAGCAAACAGTCATTGCCATCCCAAGAGCCACGCTGCCATTGTAGATTTCCTGCAATATAACCTTTGGTGCACATTACATGCAGCAAATCTTACAATCTCTAGAAAAGTAACTCATATTGCAAAGATAACCTGGCACTTGAATCCTCAGCTATTATCATCACAACCAATCAGATTTCTGATGTGACAAAAATGATTTCAAACAACTATTAACTCTCCGGGGTGAAGGCCTTTGGAGTAATTCTGAGATGTAAAACACGCAGAAAGGTAGACTTCTTCGGTCCCTCCGGGCACTTCACAAAGAAAAAGGGCAATGAGGAGATCGTCTTTGAACCTTCACAGAAAGTACAAGAAGCACTGAAGTTCTGAAGCTACCTTTGCAACAAGCCTGTCTTTGATGAGAACACACTGACACTTGCTGCTCTGGGTCTCTTTGTGTGTGTATGTGTGGGATATATTAAGGCAGTACTGTATGCCCTTGTGCTAGACCAGGTGCCAATGTCGTGCAGGCAGTAAGCACTTTTCATTGAAAGGCAATTGTTGGTAATTAAGCAAAAGCCACTACAAAAGGCTGCCTCAATAGGATTGAGTCGAGGCCACAATGAAGGAACAAGTCTTTGACACTGAGCACTTTCTCTATACCTGACCCAGTGATACTGATACAGCCGGCTCTAAGCTCCCCACCATAGAACATGAACGGAGCAAACAGATGCCGTCATGGTAATCTCTTTTAGAGCAGCTAAAATGGCTACCCACAGAATCTCAGGTTTGCATGGTAATGAGCAATGCTTCCTGCGTGATGGACTACATGATTCAGACTGCTGCAGTGTTACTGTAACTGTCACTGCAAAGATGTTTCCTGCTGAGTCTAAAGCATCAAGCCAATGCTCATTTACAAGGATCCCGTTGTGCATGATTATACGACATACTGTACAAGTGAGTTTAGATTTATGAACCAGAAAACACATTTTAAACTGATGACTTTGAACAAGGATTGTGAGAATTCTCTTTATTTCAGATCTGCCCTGCACTTTAAACAACTGTACAGTATAGTCCCTAACCTAACAATTTCTCAAGCCAAATGTAGGAGACAAACACTGCCATTTGCTCTCCTGTAAGCCAAAGTTCTCCTAAAGCACAAAAAGTCAGGAGAAAGTATCTACAAAAAATTGTCCAGAAGTATCAATAAATCATGTTTTTACTTCATTTTGTGATGTGCAACATACCGTTGTTGCGTAACACGCCTGGATGATGCTGTTGTCCTCAGAGTTGCAAGTGCTGGTGTTAGCCTCCGCTGCCTCAGCTAGGCTGATCTGAGTGTGGCTGTCAGTGTCATCACAGGAAGCCCGCAAGCTCCTCTCTGAGATGGGCGTTAAGCCGCCGCACAGTTCCAGCTGAGAACACAAAATTCCAAAGTTGAAATTAAGGAGTTTAGGAGTTTACTTTAAAGTGAGTAAACTCACATGAAAGCAAACAGGCTAGAGAAGGTGACTGTGAATTAGACACCCTCTTCTCCTCTCCCCTTCTCTCTCCATCTGTAGTGTGGTCGAGCATTGTGTTCATCTCTCAGCTGCATTAAAAATTCAGACGGCCTGTAACTGGATTCTCTGTTCCTTGTTACTAAGCCACAGTCCACAACAGAAAGGAGAAGAAATGCTGTACTCTCAAGAAAAAAACATTTAAGCAATTGTCTTGCATATCTGTGGGAATAAATGTCTTTTTTATGAGTTTCTCTCCAAAAAATATAATTTTTTTGGAAAAAATCTTGTAAAGAAAATCCACTTTTGAGTGTATGGATACATATGCTGCAGCTCAATATATGATGATATATACTGTATGACAATATACATTTGTCAACTTCCAGAGACATACAGTACCATTTATATCATAGTATTCATCCCTTTATTACTCTGGCTGTGTTGGGGAATTGTTGGTAATGCTTCAAATATTTGAGCAGGAATTCCTTGAAGCAGTCATGGTACTTTGTTTAATTTTTTTTATCCATGAACAGTTTGTGCTTGATTCACAAAAATGTACTTGACAACTTAAAATAACATGTCAGGTTGAGAGTTTTATCCATATCGGCCACTTCTAGTTATGCAGATTAGAATCTTTTGGGTAAAGATTTTATGTCACAAAAACTAAATGAAATTCACTCAAGTGCTCCGCACAAAGATGTAATTCACTCCAAATTGGGTATTTAAATTTACATCACTTCACATACCGGCAGTGGTTTGGCAACTCCAATGCGGACAGGGCCATAGCCAGTGGACTTGAGGACATGTACAGCATAATCCAGGCTGGAGCCTTCCAAGTCACATTCATTAACAAACATGAGTCGGTCACCGGGCAACAGGCGACCATCTCGATCTGCTACGCCTCCAGGTACCAAGGAGCGGATTACCAGAACTGTTTTAGTGGCATCTTCTGGATCCTAGTGTTAGACAGTAAGGATGGAGAGGAGGGTTACTGAAGATACACGTGGACAATCTGAAATCAATTACATATTGACAGAGGTGGGACTAAGTCATTGTTTTGCAAGTCACAAGTAAGGCTCAAGACTTTGCACTCAAGTCCTAAGTCAAGGTGGACAAGTCCCAAGTCAAATTCCAAGTCAAGACTGACAAGTTCCAAATCAAGCCCCAAGTCAAGACTGACAAGTCCCTTGTCAAGTTCCACGTCAAGACTGACAAGTCCCATTTCAGGACTGACAAGTCCCAAATCAAGTTCTAAGTCAAAACTGACAAGTCCCAAGTCAAGTTCTAAGTCAAAACTGACAAGTCCCAAGTCAAGGTCCACATCACGACTGACAAGTCCCAAGTCAAATCCTAAGTAAAGACTGAAAAGTCCAAGTCAAGCTCCAAGTCGAGACTGACAAGTCCCAGGTCAAGTTCTAAGTCAAGACTAACAAGTCCTAAATCAAGCCCCAAGTCAAGACTGACAAGTCCCAAGTCAAGTTCCAAGTTAAGATGGACAAGTCCCTTGTCAAGTTCCATGTCAAGACTGACAAGTCCCATTTCAGGACTGACAAGTCCCAAATCAAGTTCTAAGTCAAAACTGACAAGCCCCGAGTCAAGGTCCACATCAAGACTGACAAGTCCCAAGACAACTCTTAAGTCAAAATTAACAAGCCCCAAGTCAAATCCTAAGTCAAGACTGAAAAGTCCAAGTCAAGTTCCAAGTTAAGACAGACAAGTCCCAGGTCAAGTTCTAAGTCAAGACTGACAAGTCCCAAGTCAAGGTCCATGTCTAGACTGACAAGTCCAAAGTCAAGTCCGTAGTTAACACTGAAAATTCCAAGTCAAGCTCCTAGTCAAGACAGACAAGTCCCAAGTCAGGACTGACAAGTCCCAAGTCAAGCACTGAGTCCAAAACAAGTCATAATGCTGTCTTCACCAAATGTAGTGCCATTTCTTTTAGGAAATTGTATTTACTTGTTTAAACTTTTTTTTAGCAAATGTGACCTGCTGTAGATTTTTGAGTCAAAAGGCTCGAGCTCCAAGTGATGTGATGAATCACTGGTGTTATAGTTGAGTTGCAAGTCTTCTTTTTTTGTCAAGTCAAGACTGAAGTCATCAAATAATATACTTAGAGTCTGACTTGAGTCCAAGTAATGTAACTCAAGTCCACACCTCTGGATATTGTTAATATGTATTCATATATATATTATAGTGAATTGTACACAAGATGAATGCAACTCAACAACAGAATAAAAGTGACTAGTGTCAAAGTAAATGGATTGGATGGTCTCACAGAAGATCAACCAGCTGCAGTGAAGATACTATTTCTCTTCATGTCTTGAAAGCCTTAACACATGTATTTTTAATCTAATATTTATAACAGCCACAGACAGAGCATTTTCCAGTCCAAACAGTTTAGCGCACAGATATACAGAATATAAGAAGTCCACATGCTTCTCTGTTTTCTTCACCCTATCCAACCCGACATTGATATTCTTAGACTGCAGCCTATTCCAGTGTGTTCTATTTGTAGAAAGGCTCAGGGGCATGTCTCTGACCTGGTAGTCCAGGATACTGAAGCCCAGTCCCGACTCGCCTTTCTCCAGCTCGACCACCTGAGCCTCTCTCTCCCACATGGCCAGAGGAGGTGACATGGGGGGCACGCCACGCTTGGTGATGTCCTCAGCTGTAGGACAGGGAATGACACAACCCTGGTCCAACTGGGACAAGCAGAGAGGACGGAGAGGACACAGGAAAGGAGATCAGTTTACAAGAGAGGAGCATGTCAGTGTCTTTTCAAATGCAGAGGACGTGTAAGAATTCTAATGTGGTTTATGCTGTTTTAGACTGAAACACTAATCCCTCCATTCATCCTTTCATCAGCGTGCAGCTTCACCTTGTCATTGAACTCAGCCAGCAGCTCTTTCAGGGTGAGATGGACATCATCCTCATCTTCCTCATCACTGTCGGGAACTACAGGGGGTACAATGCGAGAGCACACCAGGCAAACACGCTTTGGCAGCTCCTTCAGAATATTGACCACCTCCTTATGTGTCTCTCCAATGAGAGGGATCCCATTCACCTGCCAGGAAGATACATTATATATACAGCATTTCCAAAATAGATATCCCTATCGATAGTGTTTGGCTGAGTCATGCTTTTAGCTTTTGAAAAACACCCCAAAAACAGTTGTGCTATCAGAGGTCAAAGATGCAATATGTTATTTTTTTTCACTTGAAAACAACAATATTTAGAGTATTGAACATTATTGTACATTTATGTCTGTCTGTAACTTTTCCTATGACTGTGTGTGTATGAGTGTTCATGATTAAATCTGAAAGACAGCCCAAAAGTTGGATATTTTTTGGTGATATTTCAGTTTTGGGTGTCGTGGAGCAATTAGTGGCCACAGTACATCAAGTCACAGCAAGAACAATTAAAGCTGCGAGCGGTAACTAAACCAAGCGAGGCTCATTTAAAAGCAGAGAGGAACAATGGCTTAACCATGCTGATGTCATCTGAGGGGGATCAAAGGGTTGAGCTGTGACGCAGATGTTCATTTGTATACTCAACGATACAAAGGACACGAGCCAGTTTGGAGCATTTTCTCTGTGTTTCAAGTAAAGCTACTGTACATTGTCCGAGAGTTCATGAGGAACAATGTGTGTGGGTGCGTGAACTTGTCCAGTGGAGGGGGAGGAGGGCAAGCTCTCCCTCTATAGTACAAGCATAAATGCACAGAGGCACACACTCACACCCACTTTCTTTTATTGCATACTGTACTTGAAACGGTGTAGTGTTTACTGGTGGTGGTTCAAATATATGAGTAAGTCTTTAAAATGCAATATGCCTCCCATTCCAGGTTTAGCTGCTCTAACGACTTTAAAGAACAGGCTATCTTGCTAACTGCATTAATGAAAGGCAGAAACATGAAAGGAAGTATGGTGCTGTGAACTGTGAGTCTCTTTATTAGTCATACACATACTTCCCACAGATGTGTCAAAATAATCTGTCCCACACAGATCATATCTTATTTAACTTAAAATGATCTCATATCTTAATCAAATGACTGAAGAGTGAGTTGTAGGAAAAACTGGCTGTGAGGATCAGCATCAGTCGGTTACCTCTAGTATCTGGTCTCCTGTGAAGATCTCGCCGCTTTGCCCGACAGGCCCCTCAGGTAAGACGGAGCACAGGTAGTGGTGTCCTGCTCGGGCCTCCAGACTGATGCCAAGACCACTTGTCTCACTGAAACGCTCCAGCTGGCACACCTGAAAGAGCGATGTGAATTTAAGCCACTGGGAAACAAACAAAGAAAGGCAAAGTTTGGTGGGTAAAAAGGGTGTAGACGTTAGGTATTGGCTTTTATTCTTCTTTTAAGAGGACCTGTTATGCTCATTTTCGGGTTCATACTTGTATTTTAGGTTTCTATTAGAACATGATTACATGCTTTAACCGTAGACAAAAAAAAAAAAAATCCACTTTATTTTCCTCATACTGGCTCTGCTGGAACACCTGTATTTTCCTTTTGTCTGAATCAATCCATATTAGTGCCTGTCAAAAAAACCCAGTCTGCTCTAATTGGTCAGAGCTTCTGGGTCTTCTTGTTTCTCCGTCTGCAGGAATGAGGGCTAAAACCCGAAAATGAGTGAGAATGTCTGTACTCCCAGATCCCTCACCTGGAAGTCAGTGGTTTTTTGAATGGGTTTTTGGTAGATGTCTGACAACAGGTCTGTGGTGAACACAAGCTTACAGTAAGAGACTGATATTTTGTTCTACGACATAAGTCAGTATATTTTGAAGCCTTTATGTGTCTTATTTAGCCACTTGCTAACAAATGTTAGCTTTTTACTTCTGATGATTGCATTTACGCTTCAAAAATCATAAAAGTGGTATTCATTTGTGAACACCATCTTGCTTAAAAGAAAAACATGTAAGTATCATCAACTGGTCAACAAATAAACGTGATTACTGCAGCATTCTATGACTGTAACGAAGAAGAACGGCACTTTTTACTGTGAAAAATCACAGTGAAAGCCTCTAAACATAATCAGACATGTTCCAGCAAGAACTTGATCCAAAATGAGGGAGGAATAAACAACTCCTGCGACCAAGATTACATGTTTTCCTAAAGTTAGCATTTACCCACATGTAGCAATGTAGGCTACTTGCAGCCGGGGAATGACTGTGTATAGCAGCACTATCTAACATTAAAAATCACCAATAAAAGCTTCTAAACACAAGTGGATGTGTTCCAGCAAGAATATGATCCAAAATTAGGAAAAAAATTGCTACATCTGCAACCAAGATTAAATGTTTGCCTGACAACAGCATGTAGCTACATTTAGCAGTGTAGGCTACTAGCAGCTGGGGAATGACTGTAATGGAGAATAGCAGCACGTTTTCCTGTTTAAAATCCTCAATAAAAGTTTCTGAACACAACCGGACATGTTCCAGCAGGAATATGATCCGAAATTAGGAAGAAATTAACACTGGCAACCAAGATTACTTGTTTCCCTGATACTAGCATGTGGCTGCATGTAGCAGTATAGCCTAAGTAATGTAAAACCTTGCAGAGGCATGCTTAGAGTAACTTGAGTAAGATCTGTGTACAACAGCACTTTCTCTTGTCTCAAAAGTAGAAAGTTCAGAACAATGTATTCAAAACAGTCTTAATCCTGAGGTATTTACTCACAGTGGTTACCTTTACATACATTTATCTTATTATTTGAAATGTTGGCCACGATTAATACAGGGGTGGGAATTAGAGTTGCCACCCATCCCGTTTTTCCCAGAATTGTTCTCAATTCTGAGAACAATTCTCAGAATTGACCAGCTACTTCACCTTTGCGCACCCAGACAACTGCAGCCAGCTACTTCACCTTTGCGCACCCAGACAACTGCAGCCTAATTATGCATGCTGACAGGGCAGTAGTCACCATATACATTGAGGGGGACATGTGCCCCCCCCTGCCCAATTTTTTTTTTACTGCAATCAAAGTGGCAAATATTATCTTGGAGGACATCACTGCACTTGGTTGACTATTTTTCTATGATCTTAGATGTAAATATTGCATGTTTCTTTCAGATAAAACACATTTTTGACTTGTGAATGAGTCAATGCAATTTCTTGCAATAATGAAAAAATACTGGCAATCATGTCCGCCTGGCACAAACATGTTTTGGACAGCTGTGAAGTGACAGAATGTCCCAGCATCATGGTTCTTATATTGCCAGATTACAGAGAGTCTCCCCTCTTCATATATGGCAGAATATGTCAACTTCCAACTTGCTATGGTGAGATACATGTAAAAATGTAAGAATTTAGTCACACGGATGTTTTTTTCATTGATACACAAATTAATATAAAATACAGGCACATAGATGGACATGAAATGATGGCAAATCTGGTCTCCTATGTCCGAATTTCATGTTCATTGGTCAGTCTGAACTGGTAATAATGGCCGAGCCCTCCGCCTCAAACATTTGGTCGAGTGTCCCTTTTTTTCACAAATCCAAGGTGGCAACCCTAGTGGGAATTACCAGAGGATCCACAAAACAATATTATCACGATACTTAAGTCACGATATGATATTATTTTAAATATGTTGTGATACGCTAGGTATTGCCATAAAATATAATACAATTTATTACCTTTTTTCAACTGTAAATTATGTCTCAAAAGGAAAACTTTGTCCATATCAGTTTTATCTAATAAGATAAAGTTTTCAGTCTGTTCATCTCACTTCAGCCAGTTTTGCAGTAGCAGCAAAATGTATCTAGTGGACTGAAAAAGCAATGTATCATATTGTACTAGTTGGCTATCTAAAGTTTAATTTGTATTTGTAATATTAATAATTTCTATGATAAAAAAAAATTCGATACATGGCACTGTGTGAAAAGATACAATATTGTGAAATGATACAACACGATATCGGGATACGAAAACATCGCGATACTGTGCTGTTTCGATTTTTTGCCCCAGCCCTAGTTTAATATGAACATTGTAACATTATATATGTGATAGAAAATAAGTAATAGCATGACAGGTCCTCTTTAAATGGGCAGTTACTTGTAAATACAAATAATATAGCATTTAGCTATATACAACACTAATATTTTTTGGCTGTTTTCCTGTGTATTTTATATTTAATGCTTATTTTAATTGCAGAGAGACATACAATAACTTCATATCGCTGTCCCACTGCATGCTGCCACCTCTTCCTCAGGTCTTCCTCCTCAGCTGGTGTCAGTTTCCAACCTGTAAAATGTATACACACAGTCACCCTAAGCTTACATGCACACACATTCCCATTTACATTGTCCCTGGCCCGAGGTGATCGAATTAATAAAGAATGTGATCCTAAATAAAAAAACATCACTTTGGCTGTTTTATAGAGAGAAAACATCATAATTCTCCTTGTCGCAAAGCAGGATGTCAACCACAACCACTCAGACAGGCACACACGCCCACGCCACAGGCACACATGCATATTCACACCCACCATCTTATGATTTCTTGGCAAACTAATGTTTTCTCGTTCATCTATTAAAGCCTCAGCGCAATCAGGGCTTATTTGGCTGTGCTCTCTAATCAAGCCCAAAAATCCTTGTCTAAATAAAGCCATACATGCAGGCGGGGCGAGAGACAAATCATCTGGAATGAGCTGAATGAGTTGGATAAACACATGACTGAACAACACTATAAATAGACTCCCATCAAAGAGCGAGCTTCGCTGCCACATCGCCGTTCCCTGAGCCCAATCAGCATATCAGACTAAGTCCCATGATCCAGTTCCAGACTGCAGTGCAGCATGGGAAGGGGAGCTTACCGTTTCTGGAATCGTGTCGGGGTCTTCTGTTGGCGTATGCTGCTCGCCGGGAGATTTCTCGCAGGGAACAGATTCCTGGGAGACAGGGGAAACACGTTTTGAGCTCACATACAGGGATCCAAACAAACATGGTCACACACTTGAGGTAAAAAAAAGATCACGTGTAAAAATTTCCAGCAAGCATAGCTCCAGTTTGAACGCGTATCAGAAAGTCAGTTCAGTCAAGATTGAACCAGATAGGGCAGGTGTCACCTGTGATTACCTGCATACATATTAACATAAGTTTATGGTAGTGCATGCTGTCAAATCACAGGTTCTCCATTTGCTCAGTTACAACAAAACCAATCCCATTTTGATACCACTGAGCCAATATGTTCCCCTCTCACAACACAAAGCACCTGTCTCTTGAATCTTGTTGAGGCCCACTCTGTAGGGGTTGCCCTCGTGGAAGCTGTGGGAGTGTCGAAGTGGATGCAGGGGTGGAACTGGGGGCAGGATGTGACTCAGACGGACAGCCTTCCTCAAAAGCCTCAGCCTGACCAGGGGACCTGTCCTCCGCAGCACCTCCATGGCGCGCTGCTCACTGCAACCCTGCAGGCTCACCCCATCCACCTGAGGGAGAGGACGAGAGATGTGTACAAGTGCAGAGTTGGGAACTGAGCCAGCATGGAAACACAGGTATGATGGAGTGGATGGTATGGCGATAAGTGCAGGTAAATTAAACAGAAAAACACACAGAAATCAATAGTAATCAAACATAAAAACAGAGAAAGATGGAAGGCACAGGTAAGGACAAGATGATGAAGAGATGGATGGGAGTAAAAGTAAACTAGAAGAATTCTCCTTCATCAGCTTAAAAAGACCCTAAGTGGTTTGTATGGAACTACTAAAAGTTGCCAACTGTGCAGATCTGGAGATGCTGAAATCGTTAAGATTCAGCAGAGAATATATTTGAGACAACAAGGTATTTGTCTTCAGAGGGCACAATAAAAACGCCATCTGTTGTGTTTTTACTGAAACTCACAGATAGGATGATATCTCCGATGTTGATGCGTCCATCTTGATCGACTGTGCTGCCTTTCACTATGCTCTTCACTATCACGCCAGCGCTGTAGACTGAGGAGAGCAAGATATATTTAGGGATAAAGATGAATTAATATTGCCTGTGTAAATTTAGCACTGAACTCATGCACCAAAAACATCTTACATTAACCAGGTATTATTCATAATTATTCTGCTATTCCTCCAGTTCCTTTCCTTCAGTTTAGCTTGGAATAATGATAATTAGCTCATTTTCCTACAAATTTAAACTTGGTAGGTATCATTACCTGAGTTTAGGTCACCTATGTAGCTGGAAATGGTGAATCCCAGGCCCCGACTGTTCTTAGTGAACTGCACACTGAACTCATAGTCATCACTAGAGTCGCTGAGCTGGAAAGAGGCACAGTGAAAAAAAAATGTATGAACCTTTTGGGGAGGGGGTTAGGGAATACTGTAATATACATGTAACATCACTGATAAGCCAATTATTTTACATAAAAAGTTTGATTTGACTTAAATTATGTGCTGTCATCCTTCACACACACACACAGGCACGCACACACACACACCTTGCCATCCAAGCTGTTCTGGCTGAGGACAGGAGAGGAAAGGTGGTTGTCCTTGGTTATATCCCTGGCGATGAGCAGTTTCACCTTGATACCAGCATTTCGCAGTACCTGGTCCAGGTGGTCATTTGTGAAGAGATGAAAAGTGAAAGTGTGTGACACTTAATGAATAGATATGTTAAATTGTAAAATCTGTTAAGAGACAGCTGCCCTGGAAAGGCAGTATGGCATACGGTAGATTGGTGGCATCTGGGACTGTCTCATCCACTGTGTAGTAAAGAGAACCAGATAGTTCCAGAGAAAAGCTCAGGGAGGCATCTGTGCAATAGTCTTTAACAAGGTGGGGAGGTTAACTAGACATACATTTACCAAATCAACCAGTTTGTCTTCATCCTTGATGTTTTTTTTTTGTTTTTTTTGTAAAAGCCAAAAATATTGTGAGAAAACACTTCTGATAAAGAGATACCACACACTTCTCTGAGCTAACTATGGCCTGACAATAGATACATACAGTGACTGAGTCAGATTTAGCTGTCATTTAAACACACATCATAACATACAAAGTCTTTTTTTTTTTTTTTTTAAATGGTAGCCTAACTCACCTGTGCCACCTGCTCACTGTTCATGCCCGCCAGATCCGTATCCCCAATGCGCAGGATTTGATCTCCGCTACGCAGGCGCTTATCCTAGGGAGCCCCATTACAACAAAGGACAATAGAGTGTGTGAGCTTACTTTACTTTTTTAAATACATTCTGCAGATTATACTAAACACACTTCACTTTAATACTACATTTCAGTTTGTTTGTTCGTTTTGATGTCTTTCAACATTAAGGAGAGAACAGACTGCAATTTTGGGAATATACCTTTCCCTGTTGAGAGGTAGATGAGAGGAATTAAACTACTCTTATTTCTGTGTGTTATTGAAGCCACAGCCGGGAGACTGAATGCTTAGCTCAGTTTGCCAGTTCACCAGCAAAACCATACTTCCAGTCTTTAAAGCCCCACTCCAGTGTATTTTGGTATTTTTATGATCTACCTTATTTTTCTGAGTCATTTCCAGTCAGTGTTGATTAGCCACACCTTTCGGCAAGTATTACCGGACAAATCATTTTTTTGCTCAAAGTTATAAAAAAGAAGGGTGTTGCTTAAACTGGGAGACGACATGTGACTATCAGAGCAGTAGGTCGTACATCATGCTCCATGCTTGCACAGGTGCACTGTCATGCCTTTTTGTTTGTGAGTGGCAAACTGACAAACATCATTGGTTTAGGTTACAAGGTTACTGGTGACTAGGTTCTAGGTTACTAAGCAATAGCAAGCTGGTACTGGCGAAAATAACGCTCACAGGGTCATGAACACCCAAAAGTGGAAGCCTTGTTTGATACAAGTGGCCAATGCACGGTATGACTTATTTACTTTTCAAAGATAATAATACGATTACAGGAAATATTGATGTAAAAACTTGTTGGCGTTCCAGAAACTAGCTAACAACAAACTTATTTGCCCCAATCTATAGGCTAAGAAGTCATCATTCAGAAGTAGCTGAATTCTTGCTAACGTTAGATTTGTATTCATTCATATTTCCTTCACAAGTTATGTTAGACTGATTATCCCTATCCTTGCTAATTATGTTGACCTTGACATGTAGGCTATGATAGAACACCAGTCTGGGTGGGTTTACCAAAGTGGGCCTCACATAGGTTATGCTAGGGTTACATGGGTACCAGGTGGGTATGGGCCCAAAATAGGCATCTTATCTGGGGCTCACAGGTTTACCCACCCATGTGGGCAACAGGCATGGGGCCAACCCATGGTCAATCCCATATAGGGCCCATTTTTCACCCCATTTACCACACACATGGGTCCCACATACAAATGTTGGCTTGGATAAAAGAATTTGTTTGTTTAACTATATATTTTAAACGATTCAGTTATGGCTGAAAATGAACATAAATAAACAAGTTTACCGATTTTACATATCACCGCAATTCTATCAATTGCCAGTTGTCCACCAGGAAGTGATTGTTGTTGTTACCATGACATCATAGTGATATAGTCTATTACCCTCACCCTCATTCTCTAAGAATTTTCACTGAAAAACAGGAAGTAACAACAGCTGGAGCGGGGATTTAAAATAAGCTGACCAACTCTGGGCTGTAGCTTTATAATTAACGAATAGATATGACAGTGGTGTCGATCTTCTCATCTTACTCTAGGTAAGAAAGTAAAAAAGTGTATTCCCCACAATGTTTTGCTATTACATATTCCTTTAACTAGCTATCTAGGGTTTGTCAGGTGGATTTACCCGTCCAGCAGCTCCACCAGGAAGGATGGTCTTGACCATAACTCCTGTGCTCCGCCCTCCTATGATACCAAAACCGAGCCCTTTCCCATCATTGGTCAGCTCTATCATCTCTACATGACGCCTCTAAACATGGCAGAGAAGAAGAGGGAAGGACACAGAAATGGGAGAGAAAGAGAGAAAATCTATTCCAATTAAACTGTTATAAAAAAAAGTATAACGCCATTAACGGGTTAAAGAGCTAAACACATTTGACTCCCTCTTTAATCTACATCCACAGACATACATTTACCAGCTCTACAGTAACACCTCACATGTACAGTAAGCTGACTGTACCTCATGAGCAATAGCAGACAGGTTTCTCCCCATCGACATGGTGCGGGAGATTCGAGGGGGAGTGCAGTACTAAAAAATAAATGTCACGTGTAAAACAAAGGCAAACATGAAATGACATCGAGTTAGCTGAGCTGCCTCTTATGATCAGCGCGAAACCCCTCAGAATGTACTATCCAGCTGTGCTTGAGTTTTATAATGCAATGTAATATTCCCAAATGTATAATGTGACATATGGAATGGTGATGTGTTACATTTTACAATTGTAAGAAAAAATATTTGGTTGGCTCATGGCCTTAAATAATATATAGCCTCCTATTACTAAACTCCTCCCAAATGACCTCTCCTTTACGACGGGTGTTTTACGTACTTGTGATTCAGCATGAATGCAATTCTCTTGGTACATGTCTGAGAAGGACAGATCCTGCGAGCCCAGAGAAGAGCTGCTGCCGTCCCTGTGGATCGATCTGGCATTGCTGGGCCTGCGGTTCTCCATGGCCCATGTGTAGGAGTCGCTGTGGCTCAGCGTCTTCAGGCTCAGCGCCATGCCCTGGCAGGGGCCACAGTTCATGGACACTGATTTGGAAATTCTCCCCTGGTAGGATTGAGAGAGCAATAAGAGATGGATAGATAGGACACAGATGATAAAAGTGTAAAAAAGGAGAAGATGCATGTAAAAGAGATGGTTAGAGCAGGATAGAGAGAGAATAGATGAATGAGAGAAGGATTGAGGGATGCAGGGGAAGGGAGAAAGAAAGATTGGGAGGGAAATGGATGAGGTAGATAAAGAAATGGGGAAGGGGATTGATGGAGAGGTGGGGGCATTAATTGAAGAACGGAGATATGGAGACAGAGAGGAATAGGATGAGAGAGTGATGGAGGGAAATAGAAAGGATAAAGAAATTGAGAAAGGAGGGCATTGTGATACAATGAAGAGAGATGTGGGAGGGAGAGCAGGGAGGAAGGGAGGGTGAATGTGTGTTAGCCAAAAGAAAAAAAAATGCAGAAAGATAGGTTTAAATGGAGCAGGGAGGGAACAGATAGGAGAGCAGGAACACAAGGATCTGAGATAAAGGCTTCTGCTCAATACCACATAACCACAAAACTGTTCCCTTTTGTCTTTTAGGTTTCCGTTTCAAAGTTTAAAAGGGAGTTTCGGTAGATGCTTATATCTGATCTGTATTCTGTTCCATTCTAACAACTTTAACACCTGTTGAAATAGTAGTAGCAGAATAAAAGACAGAACAATATCAAAACACTAATAAGCACCTCCACACTCCTTGAGCTGCACTTCTTAATTCTATACTATATATATAAACTGTAACTTTGAAAGAAACAAGAACTTGAACTAACAAAAACTGTGCCAATGTCTATCCTGATAAAAATCCAGAAACCACTGACATGATCCAGTGCCGTGTTTCCTGGAATGCAGAGATGCTAAACAACTACAAGCTCACACCACACAAAGCTATAATGTAATAATCCTTGTGTGTGTGTGTGTGTGTGTGTGTGTGTAGACCGTGGTGCTTATGGGGTTAGCCTATTACAGTACACCACAACAGACAATTACAAAGCCACGATGATTACCGCTGACAACAGTGGTGGAAGAAGTATTTGGATCTGTTACAGAATCTGTTACAAGTAAAAGTCAGGTATTCAGAATCTTAGATAGTAAAAGCACAAAAGTATTAGCCTCAAAATATACGTAAAGAACCAGAGGTAAAAGTACTCATTATGCAGAACGGCCTATTTCAGAATAATGTCTGTTAGTGGTTTAAAATTATTGATGCAGTTATGGGTACATCACTTTAATGGTGCAGCTGGTAAAGGCGGGGCTAATTTTAATTACTTTATAGACTGCTAGGCAGCTTGTGAATTTCCTCCCTGGGATCAATTAAGTCTTATCCTATAATGATCAATTATGTTTTATTTATTGGTTCTATTTTGTGTCATTATTCTCAATATGCAGAGTAACTTAAGTTATCAAATAAATGTGGTGCAGTAAAAAGTACAACATTAGCCTTTGAATTGTAGTGCTGTAGAATGAAGGAGAAAGTGAATATATAAGTAAAGTAAAAGTACCTCAAAATTGTACTTATGTACAGTACGTGAAAATATGTATTTAGTTACTTTGCACTAATGACTGAGATGCGTTAAATACAAAAGGCAATCTCCGGAGCTGAAAATGAAGCCAACGTAGAAGTGCCAAAAACTGCAGTTCCTTGAATGGCCACTTGAGGCTGGCTCCAGTAGTGAGTCAATCCCCATAGAGAGCCATGTTAAAATGCCCAACTTTACAGCTTAAATAAAGATGTTTTCAGCCTGTGTTAAAAAATGATTTGGGTCTCTATAGCTAATTTTAACATTCATGACAACTGTACAGAGGGTGAATTTTTATATAACACATTGTATGTTCACATATTGTTAAGGCTTAAAGTTATGCATAACTAAGGGCGTGGTCACTTTGAGTGACAGATAGGTACTAACTGTTGACAAGTCTCTACTACAGCAACAACACTGGTTATGTAACATAATTGCATAACCCCAGATTCAAAGTATATAGGTGAAGCTGTAGCTGTTTCTATTTCAGTGCGTTTCAGTTCATGAAAGTGAACTGTGATGTAATGGGCGCCTAAAAATATCTCGTTTAGAATTTGGTTGTACTTAAAGACCCTCTGACGAGTTTAATATTCAGTTCTTCTGGTCAGTACTTTTTCCTTTTTTTTTCTAATTTAAGCCTGTTTTTTTTTTTGCTGATGAAAATTAGCATTAGCATTATCACACTTAGGAAAAGCTTTAAATGCACCATGTTCACCAAGCTAGCAGCTAACATTATAGGGTTAGCTCCACCCTCTGATCCAAATATGGTCGCTTCTGGCTCCAAATATTCAAGATGGCATTGCCAAAAATGCCAAACTCGAGACTTCAAAACGGAAGTACACAAACCAATGGTGACGTCCAAGTGGCTATGTCAATTATTGTATACAGTCTATGGTTAAATGCCTTGATGATGTCATACATGTCATACAACAATACTGACACTGTACTTGTGTGTGGGCTTTTGTGTGAATAAATATCCCCCACACACAAACACACACCCACACATAAGCTCAAAACTTATGACAATCTTAAAGATGACTTCTGCAAACTCCTCGACATGATATATAGCCACTTCCTCCTCCCTCCCTCGTTCTTCCTCTCTCTCCCTCTCTCTCTTTCTCAGGGCTTTAATGGTAAGCTTAGGTAAGCTGATTACTCATCCAGTTTGGTTCCTGCATTCAGTATTTTGGGAATGATTCCGGCTCCTTCCCCACCATTCAATATACACCAAACGCCCACGCACTCACGCTCGCGCTGTACCTTCGCTGGGGGCTTCCGCTGAGCTTGCTGTAAGCTGAGTATATGATGGAACAGGGGGCTCTGCAGGACAGTCTTGAGCAGGGAGAGTTTCTCCTGTGTGGGGGCCTCTCCTCTCTCCTTTAGTTTGGCTTGCAGTCTCTCCACAGCTTCCAAGGCACGCTGAGTATCTGCAGAGAGATTGTATATCATTTGTGTCATTCGGAAAAAAGGATTTCTCCCATTTGGCTTTGTGTTTCTTGATGTTGTAGCAGCTGCGGTGCGACCATGACACAAACTCAGACCTTTGATAATAAGCTATGAAATGTCAGTGCTTAATGGGGACGGCTGGGAATACAAAGGAGATTTCTCAAGGCTTTCAAAATGACTTTGTTAAGATCTGTCTCTAGAATCCAAAATGACTTCTGTCAGCACTGATCTACAGCGTGATAAGTATTAAAAACAATTGTGTTTTGGAAGTTTGAGGAACAGTGCTTGTCTGAAAGAAATATCCCTGAACCGTGGCTGCTAGAGCTCGAGTTCTTTCAATTCCAAAGTCTTTCAAATGTCACTTTCCACTCCTCTCAGTTTCCTAATTAGTTTGTAAGTTTCAAACTGCAAAATTTGGGTTCAACTGTGCTCAAAACCTGAGTGAAAATGTTATTTTGCATCAGGGACCACAAAACTTTATCAAGAATCATTATGGTAGTACTGAGGGAGGATGTGCTGTCCATTCTGCAGCACTAAAAAAGCAGGGGCAGGAGCTGCGTCAGGTCATATCGCCCTTGTTTATTTAGTGGAGCAGGAGCTAATGAGCACAAGCCACAATTGCAGTAATCGTATATGGCAGAAGGTTAAGACCCTGTAAACTCTTCACCACAAAGTTTTGACTACCGACCAGACTGTGCCACCTGCACATGTGACCATTCCCTCCTGTCTGGCTGCAGCAACCCTGCCTGACACCTTAATTGTAAGCCTCTGAAGATGGTGGTGGCGCGGAGTGTTTCTGAGGTTACTGGGACGTGTTTGGCTTTAAACAGCTTGCTCCACATCGCCCGAATACACTTACCCATGATTTCCATCGTCGCCTGACAAATTGTTGGGATGAATTGCGTCTTTGTGGCTTTCTGTCTCAGTTAAATGTCATTCTTCTCCGTTTGGCACCTGCAACACGAATAACAACAACACAAACAAAAGTTTTCTGCTTTAACACGACCTTGCACAGATAGTATTTCCATTTCTGTGACAGTGTACTTGTGGGAGTTGACAGTTTCAAAGTGCCAAGGTGAGGTTTCTCCTTGAAGGTATCTCCACTGCTGATTCATTTTCATTACAATTATTTCAGTGTTTTAGCCTCCCCTCTTGTCAATTAGCAAAGGAATAATTAGTCCACTCATTTATATTTGAAATTTATTCCGTGGCGTGTATCATTTCACCTCTACATCCTCTCTTCCAAGGCCTGTGCCATGCTTGTTTGCAAGCGCCTTGCTTGTCAACTAATGCTCTTTAGCAGGATTTAAATCTTCTCCAAAGGCTTTATCAGCCAGTGATGGTAATTAACAGCGACACATGGCCTCCCGACCATTCTGACTGCAGGGGAAGCCTGTATAGCATCAGAGCATGATACCAATGACATGATTTGATTTGCAAAAACGATGGGCTAGAAATGACAACGCCTCATCTGAGATTTAATTAGTGGGCATTGATAGGCAGTAGGGATATCGCAGTACGTATATGCCCTTCACGGCCAGCCTAATGAAATCTATAGCTTCTACCTGTTGATATTAAAGCGATGCTGACTGCTTCAGAATAAAAATGAATCATTACAGATGAATGATTTACAGCAATTAGGCCCATTAGCGTCTAATGTGTAATCAACAAGACAGTGTGTTAATTTCTTTAATAATGACCCGGGCACATTAGAGCTATCACTGTAACGAACGGACGGACATCACGGACAGTTTCACAATCGCTTGTTGCAGAAAAAGCTTCCTCTCACCTCCATTGCAGCGCCGGTGGGCTATCAACAGGTCCCCACTGAGCTCCCAACAACAGCACATCCACCTCCTCCACCGGTCCGCGGGGTGAATCTACCAGTGCCGAATAACGAGAATGACACTTTCCTGATGGGACAAGTCATAACAACGTATTGAGAGACGGCAAGATACCAAGAAGCAAGCTGCGCGCTTTATTTTCCAGCATTGTGTCCGCGGCTTGTGAGCGCTCCGTGCCAGTGCGCATGTCACCCTCTGATCTTCAGTCACAGAGGGCTCATCCCTAATGAAAGAGAAGCAGCCCGCAGTAATTCTGTAATACATTTCACTTAGACACTGCAAACAATGATATTAGGTGACTTCAACTCATAGCTAACTTCTAAAGTACCTGTCCCAAACCTCCTTATGAACATATTATTGTAAAACCATTACTAATTAGGCTACATAAAACAGTGTCAAGACTGTGAGTATATCATAAGAAAAAGTTATTAAACATGTTAATATATAGATATTTTAAAAAATCAAGTTGCCACCCTCAAACTGCAGTCAAAACATGAAACTACACTGAAACTACATGTGCTATGGCAGGGCCGTAATCACCTATTTAACATTGAGGGGGGGCCATTTTTAATCATGGGTCTGTAGCCCGACCCAGAAAAATCCCCCCAGGAGAAATTTCTAGAAACTTAACAGCTGATCTGATCATTTTAGGGCTTTTTGAAACAAAAATCTCACATCAGGGGTTCTCAAAGTTTTGATGACTGAGTGCCATTTTACAGCCACACAGGAAAAGTGCACACACTCTGACTTTTTTTTTTATGAACTTTTTTATGACATACTAACACTACAAAGGCTATAACACTCAATCATCAGTCATATTACATTCTAGTTTTACACTTTTCAGTACATGTGAAAGTATTAAAGTAGAGAGGACAGTACATTATTTGACACTGATAGAACCCACAGCAGTAGAGCAACTGCTTCTGCTGGAGTGCTTGGACAAACCATACAAAGAACTGCAGAACACTGTAATAGAAACAGAAAGGATGGCAATTTAGTAGGTTTATTTACAATGATAATTACATTTGCTAATAACTATTTTGGATGGTGGTGCATGGTTGCCTGTTGTGGCATAGAAAATTCCTTTCTTTATATTTTCTATCAACAAACTGGGGGAACATTTTGAGCATATTTGAATATTTTGGTAGGCTCAAATATATATTAGAATCACTGCCTAGGCTTACAGACAAGGGTCTCACTTTGTGTTGAAGAGTGGTGGAGAAATGACAGCTCACATATATAGAAAGCATGGGGGGGGGGTGTATTTATGTCAAGGAAAAGAAAAAGTTTAAAATATAAAAAGATAAATATTTATTTTTCTGTAGATCAGTTATTCTCATGCAATCTTATCGCTGCGTATGATTAACTCTTTAGTTCTCATTTGTGTCTTTTGTTTGGGGAATCAGCCTCTTTAATGTGCATGTTGCACCTGATGATGTAATGTCAATGACACATTGATTCATTTTAATTCATTTATAAGCCCCTGAACCTTACTAGCTTATGTCTGCTATCATGCTAACAAAGCGAGAAAGGACACCTTTTGAGAAAACTGTGTTAAGAATTTGTTGAAGTTGCTGATCCCAGCTGCACATTTTGCATCATTTAAGAACCAGTAGGCTAGAGGGATTTTTTATTTATTTATTTTTACCCAATGTTACTTTTTTTTTGAGATGCACATTTGTGTCTTCTATATTTACATTGCCATGTAGGTTTTCTTATTGTGTAAATAATACTTTCTCAAACATTAGGCTATCATTTGTTAGTTAACAACTCTTGGTGCAAGTTATTTTTTCAGAACATTTTTTCTAACTGCAACAGTGATAGCCTATTTTATTTCTATATTTATTAATTATGATTTACACATATGTAAAATTCAACATTTATCAATTAGGAGGCTGTTTTTCATGCGTGATTCGCCTTTTATTCCAATAGTTAACATTTGCATTGCTTCTATGAATTTATCATTTCCTTGATAGGATAGATCTTGTTAGGTTTGCTCAGTCCCCCACTGAACAAACCACTTTATGCTGAATTATTGCAGTCAACGTTTCATTTCTGGGTCCCTAAACCCAAAAATTGGAGTACAGGGACGACAGTCATTTAATGGGATCCAGGAGTAAGTAGCCCAAAGAAGGACTACAATTTTACTTGTATTCTCCATATGGCTTAAAGTGTAACAGTGACTACATATTGCCCCCCCCCCCAACTAACCCACACACACACACACACACACACACACACACAAAACCATGACAGTAGCAGAGGGCTCATACTTGACAAAATACAAGGCATTTAATCCATAAACTGATAAAGAAAAAGCACAAAGTGATGCTTGAAAATTCACCAGAATGCAGAAGAAATTAGAAATTGTGTGTTTGATGTTCTTGATGTTCTTGAGGGCCCCCAAACCGCACCCTCCGTTTATTATTTGTCCCCCCCAGCGTTGAAAGGAAACCTACGCCCCCACCCAAAGTCCCAATTATGCAGTTATCCACCAAGTCATGTCCAACAACAAAAACCTCCTCTCAGTTGGGGCTTCTTGGGTCAATGTCACATCCAGCGGAGGGTCTAATTTGTAAAAACGTCCTTGCCGTGGAAAGTTTGGGAACCCCTGTGTGTGTTCACACGGCAGGTGGAGCCCTCGCTCCAGAGATTTAGGAGCCAGATCCAGTTCCGCGTTTTCCACCAGACACCCCACTTCATCTCTCCCTCTTTTCTCTCTCTGCATCCCCCAGGCAGGAATCATCACCCCCTCCTCTCCCCAGCCCCTCCACCCACCCTCGGCTCCCCGCCCGCCTGCAACGCAACGCTCCTTTCGCCGGGCTGCGCTCGATCAACCGAGCATCCACCGCGCCTCCAAATTGGTTTGTCATTTCTGACCCCTCTCTCTCTCCGTGTGTTGACCACGGTCCTCTGCTCCGCTGCGCTCTGCGCCTGTGGACTTCGGCACAAGTCAGTAAGAACATAAAGGCAGTCGAGAAAGATAAAGAGAGAGACAGGGAGGGAGGGAGGACGGGATACAGACAGACGGATAGAGGGAGAGATACGCCTCTGTCCTCCTCCAGCACTCCACTGGACTTAGTGCTTTTGGACGGCGATACCTCCTCCTGTGTGCGCGCTGATCGGGATACTAAGCACGCAGCTATTGGTTTATTATCTCCATCCCTTCTTTCGGTAACATCTAACCGCGTCGTTTTTTTTTTCTTTCTTTTTGCGGCAGCAAGAATTACCCACAGAGCCGGAGACGAGGCGCCAATCAGTGAAATTATTTATCGACTGGGAAGATACATTTCTATCCAACATCTACGTTGTGGGGACTGCATGCAAGAGCGCAGAAAAGGTTATTCCTGACTCCACTGTGCGCTGGATGTGTATATATGCGCCTATATCGCTGCGACTGGTGATACGGTAAGGAGCCACTCTTTATTCCTGCACGAATGATGTTTTCCTGCAGACATCCTCGGTGAACGTCAGTAAACCTCTTGGTTATATGTCACCCAGTGTGTGTCTGTCACTGACCTGCTCTGAAAGCTATATGGCAGCGCTGACTTTGGTTCTCACGGATGCCCATGGGAATGTGGCCTGCGATTATTGTACTTAAGGGGCGCGGAAACTGGCCCTAATGGACGAAAGGGGGGTAAAATGTAATATAGTTGGCGTATTTGTACAGATGAGGGTCCGGCGACTTGTGGCTGGATGGGCGTCGCTCGGATGCGAGATGTCGCTAAGGCGAAGTAATAAGCAATGATACCTATTACCTCTCCGGCAAATAATCAATGCAATCATATTATCCCGTGACGGCTGCTCGGCCGGGCTGTACACATAATTATTATTCTGTGGCCGCGTGGATGTGCCTCACTGCAGGGCGCAATGACAAATCACACGCTTTGGCATGATGGATGACAGATAGACTAAGTGTTCACCTCAGGTTTCCATCCACCCCCCCACCCTCCTATATTATATGGCTGTCATTTGAGTGTATTGGAATGCAGTTAGCTTATTGTGAGCTGCTTTTGTCAGCCGCAGTCTAAAATCCAGAGTAAATCCAGCTACTCTGGAAGAAAAGGAGTATCCGGCAGGCCAGTGCACCCCTAGGATACGTCAATCATGCGGATTCATGAGTGAAAGCTCTTATTTACAGAGGAGGCAGTCCAGGGGTTGCAGATGACCTTCATGTGCTGCTGGAAACTACTGAAGGTTGCAGGATCTTGACCTAAACTGAAACCCCTGCTTCAGATCTGTGGGACCATACAGTGAGCTCTTTGTAATCAGCAGGCTCCACTTTGAAATTGCCCTTTTTGTGCCTCCATTCTGATGATAAATTATATGATTAATCACAAGTGCCCTGCCTCACAAATAAATGCACAATTCTGGCAATCACCCCTCAATCAGTCATTTGCTGTCTGCTTCTTGGGTGGCCCTTTGGAATCACTGCTCTCCACATCCAAACAGCTATCAGCAAATATACTGTGTGTAGAGCTCAATTCTCAGTGTGACATAAAGGGTGCATATAGGCTCTATAGGTTGGAGTGGTTGACAAAATGTTGACTCATCTGTCAGTGCTGCAGGTAAGAAAAGTCTCTCCAAGGTCTCCCTCTGAGCAGGTGGGAACATGGTCAGTGTAGGCAGTCATCTGTACGTTTGTGTGTTGGAGTAATTTGACATAGATTTGCTTGGCTGCCATTTTGGCAGCATCTGTTAAAGCACAGGCCCGTCTCCAAGGAGATTATTATGTTTGTGGATGAGATGAATATCACTAAGTCATCTGTCATCAGTGCATCTGTTTGTGTCTAAGTGATCCTACAGTTCCATGCCAGTTTGATAATTTGTTTTAAGTGTTTGAGAAAGATTTAGCATCGAACAGGGAAAAAAAAAGTATTTCCTCGTCCAAATTCTGCAGTTGGTGGTTGTAGGTGTCTGACAAGTTGTTTATTTGTTTTTAACAGTGGAGGGAAAACATGTAACCTCAATAGTATTTGTGTTTTCCTGTCCAAACTTACATCTGCTGCAGTGGATGTTTTTTGGTTTACTTTTCCGCCAGGCTCGGGTAGCCTCTCCGGAGAGCCGCGGGATGTTTGTCAGACATCGCACCATGAATGCAAGTTGTGTCAAGGAGCATCTTGGGTCACGTTAAGCAATGACACCCA